AAAACGATCTCTCCAAATGTATCAAGTGTATCTTAGAATGCAAAGATTTATTTATTTCCTGAATATCAGTGAATAGATTTGTAACGACACACAAGTCCCCATGGAATTTAGCACAGACGTAAGACGGAAATAGATAATTGATCGCATTATCAAAATGAAAAGTTACTTTGCTTGTCATCTTTTGTTTCGCGTTCTATCATTAACTGCCAATATTCTCATTTGAGAGAGGGTGACAATTCAAATGTAAAAAAACACAGAGCATAACATTTTATATTGCACATTTAAGGTAAAATATTATAACGCAGACTTTGAAGAAATCAACTCATGAGCAGTTTAAAAAACATATTGTACATTCCATTTTCAATCGGAAAATTAAAAATATTATTATATTTATTGATGACATTTAAAAGCAATCATATTTGGGAAAACTCCTTCGCAACCTCCTCCCCATTTTGAATAAATTATAGCGACTCCACTGATTGGACAGAAAGTGTTACTTTCCTCCTGGCTGTGGAGGATGTTCAGGCGATTACGGTGAGAGAGAGAGAGAGAGAGAGAGAGTTTTAAGCTTATCTGTACTAGTTTATAATGTGGGATTAGAGCATCCTGCAAGGTCACTGCACAGGTGCTTATCTCACCAACTCAGCTCTCAGATAACATAAGAAAAAGAGGATCATGGGGACCAATGGTCACCGATTATGCATTGTTTTCTATATAGAGGGAGCAAGTAGCTACAAGTAGGACAGTGGGCCTTTAAAGGTCCGACCATTCCGACAAATTAGCGCACTCACCCAAAACGCCTCTTTAATAAAAGTGAAAGAGTGATCCTAATTAAGAGCTCGACTTCTTAAGGACACTTATTGGCTTCTTCAAGACTCTTACTTATGTGGTTAAGGCAAACAACACTTTAGATCGCTCCAAGAAGATTAAAACATTAGGTATAAAAGGGCCAATCAACTCTTTTTGCCCGATGAAAGTTAAGGAGTTAAGAGTATCATAAAGCGGGTATAAGTCTCTATTAGCGTTGCTGAAGTAGAAAAATGAGCAAGTGGGCTGTGAAGTTGAAAGCCGGATTATTATACATCAGTCCTTAAAGAATTCGGAAAAGGTGGCTTAGTCGCCCTCTTAAGCCACTCAATGACTCTGACTTCTCCCCTGCGATAGAATTCTCAAGAGGGCTTTCATGGTAAGAAGTGGAAAACAAATGAAGTCAATTGGCGGTTGAAGAAGCTCCTATCATGGAGAGGTTTTCAAATATTATTGACCGTGGTATTGTGATATACTGTGGGAACGGAGAATAGGAAATACTTAGCGGGCTTAGAAGAAACCCTAATTCTTGCAGACAACAAAAAAGTCAAACCCGTGACAGACTTTTTTCCCTGTAGTTTGATAATTAGAAGATCAGACCACTTTGTCATGAATGCATTTGCAAAGCAGGTCAAGTGCTACAGAAAATGTCTGGGAAAAAAGGATGAAAAGACATAGGGCCGACTGAGATAGAAAAGGGGAGGTTTGTAACGAAGGATGCAACGAAGAAGAAGAAACAAAAAATTAAAGAAATATCACAACAAGTTCAAAACAACAACAAGAACAAAAAAAAAATTGTATACTTTTTATTCACAGGAGAATGTTCCGCATGTTTCAAATTAAAGTTATACAAAAGTACCCCTCCCCCCCCCCCCAAAAAAAAAAAAAGAAAAAAAAGAAAAAGATTGCAGTGATGAAGTGGTGGATCCATGATTTACCTTAAATGGAGGGGCAGGGGGAGGGGGCAAGAGTTTATCGAAATTGATTTTCCCTTGGTCATTGTTTCTGGAATTTTCAAATTTTTTTACTGAAAAAACACAATAATCAATCATTATTTCATAATTATGTAATTTGTTGAAATCCCCCCCCCCCCCCCGATCAAACACTCAAATTCTCTTCCTGTATTAATAAAGGACAGTGAAAATTCAGTACTGTAATGAATAAGGGCAAGAGCAGAAAAATGGCGGAGAGTTGGAGAGAGGAGAGAGAGAGAGAGAGAGAGAGAGAGAGAGAGAGAGGGAGGGAGAGGGGGGGGGGGGTGGAAAAGGACGGGAATACCATGCCCTGCCTTGGTTTTTCGAAACCACGTATTTTATTCACAGAGTATAACTGATGCCCCCTCTTTATATGCCAGTGCCCCTTCATAGCTGGAACCTCTAAGATTGGTTGTCCCGCGTCCTCCATATCGGTGTATATTGACCGGTTGGTATTGGTTGGGGATAATGATGGCGTCTCTCATTTGTTATACGCTTTCAAAGAGAATGAGGGGGTATTGAGCTTGATTTTGCAAAGCTTTCTGATCTGTCCGACTGGAAGTTACTCACAGTCACGGTCTTTGAGAAGAAAGCCGACTGACGCGAGCTGCGTTTCTCATTAATACTAAAGTCATCGACTTAAGGATTCGTGCCAAGAAATATTAGAGAGAGAGAGAGAGAGAGAGAGAGAGAGAGAGAGAGAGAGAGAGTGGGGAGGGGGAGGGGGGAGAGGGGGGGGGGGAGAGCGGAATTATATTTTCTCAGTTTCATAATATTTTTCAACCTTATTTTGGTAAAAAATGATCTGGAGAATCTCAAAATATTAGGCTGTCAAAGACAGAGAACAACCTTCATAGGCGGGTCATATTAAATGTACTTTATAATACTACATGCTGAACATTGTTTGTAATTGTTTTGTTATTCTGGGGTTGGGAAGGGGAGGCATTAACCATAGTTATGATAGCCTTAATTTCATTCAGGAGCCACCGCGAAAATACTGGCCGATTGATCAAGAATACTAATGCCAATGTTTGCCGAAAGAATGTTGAAAGATGGTTACAAAATCGACGAATATCCGTTATAGCGATAGAGGTCATTGCCCCCTCATCCGGTAACACTAACACGGGTGGGGTGTTGCTTCTTTAATAAGACGGTATAGGACATGAGTGTAAGTAATAATTATTTAAAAAATAGTTGGAAAAGTTTACTTACCCGTCCCTGCAAATTTGATTTTAGACATTAATTATAAATTAATAAAAAACTAAATACTGGGTAATATTTTGTAGAGGAACCGGAAAGAGAATGGGAAAGGCGGCGTGTATAATTCATTCGATAATTTCTCTTCTGCTGATCGTCACAGCTCATTGAGTTATCTATCAAGCGAGATTGCACAGCTTCCCATGTTTACAATAGCTCATCAACTTTCCTAATACAAAGTTATTACACATGCTCCGTTACCCGAACTAAGCATCATCGTCTTCGACTTTTGTTTAAAAGACAAGAAGAATGAGGATATAACTTCCGTTTTGGAAACCGCGAAGATGGACTTATATCGATCCGGAACTTGTCACAGAGAGAGAGAGAGAGAGAGAGAGAGAGTATCAGTACCTGTGGCGTACGTCGTGTGGAAGAACCGGACATACTTTAATATAAGTGCAATGTCTGGAAGAACATTTTCTCCCCCATCCTCCCATTATCCATTTTTCTTTTGTTTTTATGTCTGCATTTGTCAAAATAACAGAAAGTAATGTACAAACTAGGTTATAACAAAAGTTAAGATACATGATAATCATATCACACTAATACTACACAATACAATTACATAATTATACCTTTAAAAAACCCTCACATAGTTGACAAATCATTTAAAAAATGAAAAACTGAAGGAGACCACACCCTCTATCGCTCTCTCTTTCTCTCTCTCTCTCTCTCTCTCTCTCTTTCTCTTTTTCTCTCTCTCTCTCTCTCTCTCTCTCTCTTTTTTCTCTCTCTCTCTCTCTCTCTCTCTCTCTCTCTCTCTCTCTCTCTCTCTCTCTCAGCCTCTCTCTCTTAGGGAGGGAGGGAGGGGGGGGGGGCATCCACACGTGCCCCTTTTTCTCCGCTCCAGATATCGGTATAATTCTTTTCAAAATGGTTGGCTAGGGATACGTGTGTACCGCTCGGAAAGTTATAGCAACCGTATACACTAACAAACTTTGCCAAATTGAAGCAACTGACATTCACAAGTGGCTACACATTAACACGTGAGGAAACTATGAACAGCAAAATGACACACTGAAGTGGTCCGTTTAGAGACTTTGCTATGTTTTTTCCAGCTTCTTTTGTTTTATTCGTGTGTGTGTGGAGGGGGGGGGGGGGTTGACGAAGATCGCAGTGCCTAATTGTACTTTACTATTAGAAGGTTTTTGAACAACTTTAAAAAAGTGAAACTAATCATGATCCCTACTTGAATACCTAGCTTCATTTTATAGACTCTCACTGTTTGCATACATTTTGTGGCAGGACCCTAACGTACAATAATATACAAATTTGGAATAATATTCTATTTTGATATCACACAAAGTGGAAATTGTATTGTAGAAATACGAAAGACGCTAATGATTATAGATTTCATCAGTTTAGTCCTGTCCATTTTTAATACATCACGAATTATATCTAGAAACAAAATAAGTTCCCGGTCGAAAAAGGCCTATGGCATTTCCAGAGACATGTACCCTGTGCAATTGCAATTTTTATTTTTATTCTTTTCTTCTCTCAAGGTAACTTTCCCCGGCGCTCTTAAATTGTTTTTTCTTATGCTATTTTTTGTTCTATTATTATATGTAAAAATGTTGAAAGAAAGAAATAAAATGAACCTTGAACCTTAATGATTGCAACATTTTTCCACATATCTCTGTTTTCTGCCACCCTACAACACTCTTGCAGTGTCAATCCACTCCATGTCTTAATGTTCCCTCTCAAATAGTTTTTGGATTCCCTATTGATCCTTCTACCACAAACCTCTCATCCATAACGGTGACTTTATGCCTGATACGCCACACTATTTCTGTTTTATTTGGGGAACTTTGTCTCGAAGACAAGGATTATGATATCAGAATAGTTGGTTGGACAAACTTTGACGCTAGCTGGCAGCAAATAAGCAGAATCGGGCTAGGCATCTATTTCTAGGAAGAACCCAAAAGGCAAGTGATCCAAGTTAATACATTTCTTTACTCTTCTTTTTATTTATTTCTTCATAAACCATTGCCCTCGTTTGATAATTGACATCATGCAATAATTCTATAATCACTTAACTGGGTGTATCGGCTATTGAAACATCAGTTTGCACTGATGGAATATGCTAAATGTTTTTATTGTAGTCCCATAAACTGAAAATTGTGTGTGCTGAGGATTGATTAGCGGCAGGAGAGGCGAGAGGTCTCTCGCGCTCGCTGAGCTGCGCAGCTCAGTCGCGCACTTGGATTGCACAATCATTGCAGCTAACCCTTTGAAACATGGATTGTATTGCTCAATCAAATAATTGGGAAGTGTTAGTATTTGCAACAAGTTTATCAAGATTACTAGTAACTATGCAGCCTTTGTGAATTGTATTGCATTCCGGTTTCATCATGACTTTAGCTTGTAAAAACTAATGGCAATCATGGCTGTAATTTGTAAATAAATGCTTTGCTCTCCTCATGTTCCATAATTCCATTTTAAATTTAGGTTTGCTATGTACTTCAAGTAATGTCCAGGCAATGACCAGATGACGAGCACAGCCAGGATTGCCAGAAATCTTGCTGGGAGATTCAATGGACATCGTTTCAAGCAGTGCTGCCTTCCGCTTCCCTGGTCCCTCAACCAACCGCAAACCTATCGTCTTCAGACCGCTTCTGCTCCTAGGATCACACCTGCTCTTAACCTACCAGTCAGTACCTGTTTTAGGTACTTCAGCAGTGCAAAGATGAAGATTGACTCGCCAGAGTTCAGGGGACTCTTCACGCCAGAATTAAAGCAGCTGGCAGAGCTCTTTGAAAGATATCAATATGAACTCAGGATAGCAGGTGGTGCCGTTAGAGATCTTCTTACGAAAGTAAGTTTAGGAATGTATTCACCTAACAAGAGATGGTATATATTGGATCAAGTAATATAATTATAATAATAATAATTTGTTCCCTCTCTCTTTCTCTCTCTATCTCTCTCTCTCTCTCTCTTTGTAAATGATTTAATTGTCAATCAAAGTACGCCTTGAAACATGCCATGATTTAAACAAAGATGTGTACCGCATCCTGTTCTACAGAAGCAGCCTCAAGATGTGGACTTTGCCACCATAGCCACACCCGACCAGATGAAAGAAATGTTCACGAAGGAGGGCATCCGAATGATCAATGCCAAGGGAGAGAAGCACGGCACCATCACAGCCAGGATCAACGATAAGGAGAACTTTGAGATCACAACCCTGAGGATTGATCGGGTGACCGATGGCAGGCACGCCGAGGTTGAGTTCACCACAGACTGGAGGACTGATGCAGAGAGGAGAGATTTGACCATCAATTCCATGTTTCTGGGTAAGCTTTATCCCTTATTCTGACAGGTTTTGTTACTTTGATTAATGCAGGGCTCCACAACAACTTTTTGATAGGGGGGTCCAGATTGAACTATTTAGAGTATGTATGCATGAGTCCTATGTAAATATATCCAAAATTTTGGGGGTCTGGACAAGGATATTGGGCACCTGTTTAGTACGGTCGGGCCCTGATTAATGGTTAACCTTTAATCCCTCCCTGAGGCATGTACTGAAACAGTAATGTGATGCTCTCTTGTACTCTCTTAAAGGTACTATGTCCCTTTTGCAGCCAACCTCAAATTCTGTAGAACTTTGCAGGAATTGTGAATATGTCATGTATGTCCTATCTGTGAAATTTAAACGTTAGCAGTGTCCTCATATTCAAATTATGCAAGGAAACCCGTTTACTTGCTAGACTTCACTGTCAGACACTATTGAGTAACTGACTGGCTTTTTTTCTTCTTTGGTAATAACATACATGAAAAGAGTTGTAAAGGGTACATGAGCATTTGTCTACATCAATAACCCACTTCTTGTGATGGCCAAGATTAAACTGATTGAATCTTTGCGCAGCATAAAACGTATGACCATTCGGTACAATTGTCTGAAAATCAAGACTATTACTTTTGGGCTCTATAGCTCTAAAGTCGATTTGACAACTAATAGTCGTTATTTTCCCACTTGAAGACATTTTCAAGCCCCACCTTTTTTAGGGAAGTTCTAAATTAGTATTATCTTTCAAATGCAGTTGGAATTTAACTTTTTCATTTTTTTGGCCTGCAAATGGGACATAGTACCTTTAATCCCTCTTCCCTGTTCTCTTATGTCTGTCTTTTGCAATACTCAAAGCATAATTTCTGGTTAGACGATACTGTGTGAACTTTGAAGTAAAATGTCTTGCACAATCAGAAATCCATGAAAGTATTTTTGCCCTTCACACTCACTCATCAAACGTACTGGTACGTTATAGTTCTGTGTTAGAAGAGTCGGTCAATTCTTATTGCTCCAATATAATGATACAAAACTTAAATGAGGAATGAAAATGATATGGACCTTGTAGCGGTGTATTATGTCCGAAAGTGCAAAGAAAGCTTCATACTTGCATTTTGTGATTATTTGCTGTGATCATTATTGCTACTTTTATTTCACGGCTTGAATAGGTCTTGATGGAACGTTGTATGACTTCTTCAATGGAAAAGAGGCTCTTGAGAGATGTCATATAGCCTTTGTTGGGAATGCTGCGACTCGGATACAAGAAGATTATTTGAGAATACTTCGATATTTCAGGTGAGTACTTGAAAAGGTAATGACAGCCATTTGCTACCCATAAAACGGACAGAAGAAAACATTAATTCAATCCATATAGAAAATATTCAACATTTAAGCCTTATGTATCATAGAGCCTTTTTATATTTCAAAATTATTTTCATCAGTTGTTTTCACAGCAAGAAACTTTTGGAAATCACAAAAAGTCCAGTATTATGTGAGTTATTATTAAATTATTTCACAACATGAAACTTGCAAAAATTTTAACCACTTGCAAAAATTCACAAAAATGTTGTAGGTACGAAGGTTTCTCGTCTTACTGTATTTCTATTTTCCTTTGTAGGTTCTATGGGCGTATTGCAAGGGAGAGCAACAAACACACTCCAGAAACTCTTCAATCCATACGGGAGAACGGTCATGGACTGGCGGGGATCTCAGGGGAGAGAATATGGATGGAGGTGCGGAAGATCTTGACTGGCAACTTTGCTGCTGATCTCATTCACTGCATGTATGACTTGGATCTGGCTCGTCATATAGGTGAGATAGAACTCTGGTGATATCACTGAAGTTACTATGGTAACAAGCTTGTGTAAAATCCAGTGGGGCACAGGGGGTATGTGCCCCCAATAGGATAATAGGAAGAGAATTAAAGAAAAGAAAACAACTTTTTAAAAAAGGAGGACAAAAGGAAATGAAGAAAAATAATGTGAGCAGAAGATACTGCAACCCCCACTCCTACACACTCCCCTACTTAGTGGCATTGTTTACTAGCATTTCATCTACCAAACTTGATTGATGCTGATGCCCCCTCAGTGTGTGCTACAATGGTACGCCACTGGTCCAACCTGATGAGGAAGTTTATTTGTTGAGGTAAAGTTGCACTGTTTTGAGACAAAGACTAGAACTTTGGCCACACTTTAACTAGCTCACTAAATGCTCAACTTGCCTAGTACATAGACAGGTAGGTTTTGATACACTGATCAATAGATAGGTCACAGCGCAAGTGCCCATGTTGCAGATTACAACTTGATGTCTTCTGTTATATATTGAACTAGGTATCCCACCAGAAGCAGACCTACAAGAACTGCACAAGGTATATCAGCGAAGCCAGTCACTGCACCCTCACCCTGTCACCATTCTCTCGGCTCTCTTCAAGGATGAGAATGATGTCCTCACCATGGAGCAAAGGATGAGGATCTCGGCCGAGGAGCGCAAGACTGCCCTCTATGTGATTGCAGAGAGAGGGGACAAACCCCACAAGAACCCACTCAAGCCTTACCAAGATATTGTTGTTTGTGTAAGTTCGCTCTCTCTTTTCCTCCTGTGACTATGGTTGTGACTAAATTATTCAATCGTTTTAGAACAAATGTCAGAACAGTAAGGGTGCTATGTCACTAAATAGTCAAAAACATTATTTACCCTGAAATGATTAAATATGATAATGATGCATGTTAGTTAGTAAGGTCAGGAGTTAATCATGCAAGTTATGTAGTCTATTTAAGGAAGTAGTCGACTACAATGTTGTTAATGCTAATCCACAGTGTCGTTAAAGTCAACGATGTCATCAACTGATTTCCTAAATGTTGTCGTTTTTTGTGGGTAAATGTAGGAGGGTAGAACGCAACACCATAAATGGTTGCTTTTGATCACTTGCATTTTCAAGAAAACTTGTTTTTATATTGATTCATTTATTATTTATCAGTAACCAGCAAATAGTTTGTTCTTTTTGATTCACAGAGCAAAGAGAAGAACATCATCAAGTACGTGAGTGAAGTGTTGAAGTACCGAGGCGAGAGTCAGATGCTGGTGGACTTCAGATCGTGGGACGTTGCCAAGTTTCCGCTGTCTGGCAAAGATCTTCTGGCTGCCGGGGTTCCAAAGGGAAGAGGCTTAGGGGGTGTGATGGAGACGGTTAGACAGTGGTGGATGGATAGCGACTTCAAGGCCACGAAAGAAGAGCTTCTAGAAAGATTGCAGGAGACGATGCAAGAGCAAGGAAAAGGAGACTCATGACCAAAGTGGAAAGAGACTTAGAGTTAGGAAGATGAAGACATTTATTTCATTTGAAGCATTCACTCATGGCATCTGCTGAGACTGCTGATAAGAACTTTGGATAGGAAAGGTCTTAAAGCCACACTGTACTACTTGTAGCTACTTGCTCCCTCTATATAGAAAACAATGCCTAACCGGTGACCATTGGTCCCCCATGATTCTCTTTTTCTTATGTTAATTGAGAGCTGAGTTGATGAGATAGCCACCTATCAGTGACCACCCTGGGTGGTCTAATCCTTCCTAGCCAAACCAGTACAGACGGCCTTTAAGTACAACTCAACTGTTAACCCAATGAATGGCAACTAGCGCCCAAGGAGTTTAGTGAAGACTGAAGAGCAATGTGTTTGAACTTAGAAGGTCTACAATTTCCTTCCAGAAGCAGAGACACAGTTGTCTCTATCGCAAATTCCATACCCATGGAAGATATTGTGTGCCCAATTTATTGATTTGAAAAGAAGCATTTGAAGTCACAATGTCAGTTTAAAGGTCATTTATGACAATAGTCTAAAACTGTTGCCCAGAAGGGGTTACGGTAATTTTCATTGATGGTGTGACAATTCTACATGAAAGTTAGGGTTAATGGTTATGATTAAATATGAGTTGGATAAGTACAGCATTTACCAAAGGAGCAAGGAGACAACTCTTTTGATTTCGTTTGATGCTTTTTTTCGTTTATTTACCACAGACCAGGCCTAATGATTGTTCACAAGACACTATCAGGCGACATGTATTATGTACACCTGTATCTGCTCATAGGTCTCAACAATGCAGGAATTTAATCTGTTAGCCACTCGAATCATGATTCAGGAAACTACATGTATCTTCTTATTATGGATAACACTAATATGCTTATATATTTTTAAAGTATCAAAAGAGATATAGCATAAATTCATATCAATTAATAATTCAAGTTTTCTTAACTCCCCAACCCTGAGATGCTGCTGGGACAATACAGTTAGTTAGTCTAATTTTTAAAAGATGTCATGCAGTGGACTCATATTATGCAACCTACTTCTGCTTAGCAGCTTGTCTTTTGCAAATTTCTGATATTTTGTATCTTTTTTTGTTTACTCATGCCTATTTTATGTAAGGAATTTTGCCTAGCAAAAGGCAAAACATGCTGTGCAATAAAGAGCAAAGCCATATATATGAATATGTTTTTGTTGTATGTATCACACAAGTCCAGCTGTATCACAGATTGAAAATAATTTGTTCATCCAATCCCACTGAAATAAAGTCCGCTTGTCAGCTGAAATATCCCAGCAGATATAAACTGCCTAGAGCCAGAAGGGCATTAAACCGTATATACCTTTACAGGTACACAAAGTTAACACCCTTCTGGCTCCAAACAGATGCTATACCTTTAATCAATTAGAATTCATGAAGACAGAACCAAACATTTATTTTGTTCTAGCCTTCTTTTGAGAATAATTTTAGGATAGGTTCAATAGGATTGGTCTGAAGAGGACGAGTTGGTGGAGAGAATAGATTGGGGAAAGATCAAGTGAAAGTGAGACGGGTGAAGTATGAACAAGTGAGGATGCGAGAGAAAGATTCTACCAGTCATCTCTGATGTGCTAAGGAATAACTTTCCCAAAGTATTTTTTGCCTCGTGATCACCGCCTGGTTTTTATAAACTAAAAGAGCAATCCTTTCTCCTTCATGTTCATATACATGTGAAGTTAAGAACTGAATTATTCATACCCCTTGTCAATTTGAATTTCTTGAGTGTTTTCCGTAACTCAAGAACTATGGCCTTTGTTGAAACAAAACACACAACAACAGGACAAATCAATTTTCATACATGTGTACTTAAAAAAATACAAAACTTGGTAAAGGTATGAATAATTTAATTGTCAACTGTACATGTACTACACAAACTTCTTTTTCTCTCTCCTCTTCCTCCCCCTCTCTTCTGCATCCTTTGCATGTCTCTCTTTCTTTCTCTCTCTACATCCTCAATTTTCATGTCCATGCAAGTAAAAGCTCTTTCTCTCTTCCGTTTATACACCTTTGTTCCTTTTTTCTCCCATCTTGCTCGTCATTCTCCTCCACGGGTAAACGCCATCTCCTAAGATGTTCCGTTTCTACTTTATTTCTTGTATTTCTAAATATTACTCATACATTCCACTTTCTTGACATTTTAATTCTGTCACCTATAAATGAAGGTAATAATAAATGGATTGAATATTATTTCATCTCCAAAATTCTGAGGGTATGGTTAGTGTACAAATAACAACACATACACAGAACAAGAGTGATTTTATATAATTTCTGTCCAACTGATTTTTATTAATACATTGTATGCAAATTTCTTTGTCTGTCAGGACAGTTTTTCAAGTTTAATGATGACACCAAATGCATATACATGCCTATCTCTAAAATGGATCTCTGAACTATGACAACAGACTGCTTTGTCAATGACTAATCTAAATCATGATTCAAATCAACTTTTAAAGTAAACATGTATATGTACATTGCAGAATAAAATTCTACACAAGCTTCATAACGACACATCACTTAATCAACACAACTTCTTAAAAAAAAAAAAAAGAGTACATACTTTATGTATAGGATAATACATTTGCTTTGGTACATATAAGATTTTTTTTTTCTTAGAGCTAAAAATGCACTAGACATTGGGTTTGATACAAACGTTGAGCTACAAGAACATTTTTGGAAGTTTAACCGTTTCAGTTGGGGATCCAGTTTTTACAGATTTTTACAGATTATGGCAGTAGCCAAACAAACGCCAGAGAGAGCTTATTCAAGAGCTTATAAATATGTAAAATACGGGAGTTGATAAATTGAAAGCGGTAAAAACATCTTCAGCCTTCCTCTGGGTATACTACTGATATTCTACATATTTTTGTTGAACATTGACAGAATTTATGATTACCGGTACAGATTACAATTAAGATTTAACCTCTACCTGGATTATTATAAAAATAAGCATATGTATCTTGCCTCTTACTTTAGAGGTTGGGGTCCCTATTGCATAATTCTTAATTCATACGAGTTGCATTCTAATGGAACTTGACTTTCATGGAAGAAATCTTTTTAACAGTTTCAAATGTTGTTACATTTCATATATTGTACATGGTAGCTGCTTTGGAAAAGTATAACCCACAAAGACTCCTAATGTCAGAATAATTTGGGTATTGCAAGCGAGGATAAGGCAGTTTTAGAATGAGGAAAGAATTCAGTATTAAAAGAATAAATAAATGTCTCTTTAAAAAATATTTGAACTAAAAACATGGTGTAAATGCCTATTCTCTTCAACACCTGTGTTTGAATAATTAGAAACATATGCATACACTGTAGCACAGGCCGGTTCATTAGCTGTTGCTAGGTAGGATAAGCCATAATTTCTGCCCTACCTAGCAACAATTAATGTATGCAAATCGCAATCTGACTATTGACATACAATTATTTGTAACAGGTGAATGAAAAAAAAATTAACGCGTCATTTAACAAATACTTGTGCATTAAATTTGATTACTGTACATTATAAAAATGGCCTATAAACAAAACTGATTTGAGGCTATTTGTAACAGTGATAGTGCAAGCTATTACTCTGTATGTTAATGCTAATTACCCTTAAAGTGTAACAATAATATATTCAAACCATGAGCTTCAAATATTACTTCTGTTAAGACATTTCACAAAAGTTTGAATACACAAGATAAAGAGAAAACTAACTCGATGCTTCAAATAGGGCCCTTGTGGGACCCAGGTACTTGGGTTCTGTGTATGCTATTCAATGCTCTTCTTTACTTTCTTCATACTACTTATACGTCAGCTAATCAGCCAATATAATTGTTAGGTGAAGTTTTTGTGTTTATCTTTTTTTTTTGGTGATTGGTACACTTTGAGTATTATATCATCAGATAAGAGCCAGAAGGGCATTATACAGGTATCTAAATAAAATGACAGGACTTAATAGCCTTCTTGTTCTCAGTAAACAATAGTAATGCTGTTGGAACACAGGGTTGGGTTATAATATAATGCTACCACAAATTCACAATGTGCATAAAACATAATGACATTAAAACTATAATATAAAATAATTATTGAATATAAACTCTAATTATCACTACACCTAGAAAACATCTAGAAAAGTAAATACTGGCACTGAACATATAATAGATACAACTATTTACATGTGAAAGGATTATAAATCAACACATAAATGTTTATACGATATTTTGAATAGCTAACACATTGACATTGAAACTGAAATGACATAAAATCTAACAAACACCTACCGGTACTACTCACATTATGCAAATTATTATGATTATGATTATCTTTTTTGTTATTTTTAGAAAACTATATTACATTTACCTACAAAATGTATCTGCTTGCATACTGTATATAAAAGAAAAATATATATTTAAAAGCAGGCAAGAAAAATAGTGATAAATACATTGTATACAATTGCTGCGAAAGAAACTAGTCGAATATGAAATGATTATTCTGTGTAAGGTCCCCATTGGTTTGGTCAATAAAAAGGGTTTATACAACATATTTTCATCAAATAGCAAAGTACATAAAATAAACAAGTTTTTCTGGGCAAGTATTAACAATGAAAAGTTGTTTTCAAAGGATAAGAATTGCATGTATGGTTCTTTCAAATACATTATAAATACAAAATTCAGACTCAACACAGCATATAGTCATGTAAAGGAAAATCATATGGAGAAATATCAACAATGAAGTATGAGTAAGATGGAGCTGAAAATAAGAAATGAAAAATGGGCCATCTTCAAGGAAAGGATAAAGCCTGACGTCAATTTTGTAGACCTTTTCTGTACATTCAACCTGTAAATATTCAAGTCAATCCATCACACTGAAAACAAGCTTCTTTTCACGACTTGAAGAGAAAAAAACAAACAGAGATACGGCAGTGTAGGAATCTCTGTACTCATTTCTAACCTGAAAATACAAGGCTACAAACCAATAGATCCCTTACAACAATGCATCATCTTGTAGAGATGCTTCTTACATACAGTTAAAAGCCCATGTAAGATTAACTACTGCATTAAACTTCTACAAAGGACTATATCTGGTACTCACATCACAAATATAATGCTGCGTCAGGAAAGCCTCATGCAAGCCTGATGGTAGTCAAGAGCAATCGCTCTCATGGATTCTTTGGTGAATATGTACATTAAAAGGAGGGTGAAATTATTGCTATATACATATATATGGTTCAAAAGAAGAGTTGGCAATGATTAATTATTGATTATCTAGTCTAATTGAATAGTATTTGGCATTCATTGGGAGTCAACAAAAATAACAACAAATATCAAACATTTGTTTACTAAAGTACAGAATCCTATTAGTCTGTAACTAATTTGACCTCCTTTTACATGCACAATAGCCTTAACAGATTTGAAACTTATCACAAGAATCAATTTGAATTATAAACTTATATGTGTGCAAAGTTAGAAACAAATTCAGCTACTGCATGCACATGTATTTAGTTTTAACCCCTTGACTACTGAATTGTATAGGTCCCATAGGCTTAACACAAGGACCACCAGGTTCCCGTAAGCAAAGGGTTAAGTAGAACGTGATAATGAAAAAGATTTCAGTAATGCTGACATTTGCGATCCTAGTAATCTACTTGCACATAAAAAACCTTTGACTTAATGATATTGTTCAAACATGCTGATACATTGAGATGATGTGAAACAAACATAATTCCATAAATAAAAAGTTTTTACAATAAAAAGATATCCATGTACATTATTATACAGGTAATGCCAAATCAATACAAAATAAAGTCACTTTACATAGCAATAGATAAGTAGTATGATGAACAAAAATCCATCTTATATGTACATGTAGGCGTAATATGATCATTGTGTACACTGAAATATTCATTTGAATAGTGATGGTACAGTGCTATGTACAAGTACTGCCTAGAAGGGAAAAAACAGTCATGATAGATCTGTAGTCAATTTTCTCTACACACATAATGATGTATGGTATTCATAAAAGGTAGTCTAATCACTTAATGATTTTACTATTGTGATGCATGCAAACTCATTAATACAAGTCATGTACTCTTGAAATCATCTCAACATTTAATGACATGGCAAAATTAAGTAGTTGAGGCAGCCATTTCGGTACATAATTGTTGAAAGGATTTTCAAAGCCAGTAATTGACAAACTTTTTTTCTTTTTCTTTCATTTTTATAACAGATTTCAAGAGGTCAGAGTTTAGGGTTATTTTGCCATCTTACAAATTAACTACAAAAATATGTATTTAAAAAACGCTGCTTGCATCCTTTATTAACTCCCTTCGTTCAATTTTTTAATTATTCTAGAAGCCATTTTTTCAGAGATTTAATTTCATGAATTTTGCATACTGTTGAGAGGTCGCAAATCAAAGAACGTGTGAAAATCAAGTAGCTTGTATTAATTTATGTAAAAACGACAACTCACAAAAATTATACATCTCTGCTATCATGGAAATAATCTGTACAATAATCTATCTTCTTACACAGTCGAACAACTATGAAAGCAATATACAAGCTAACTGACTTTGCAAAGTAATAAAGACCTTTTACATACATGTACAATTATAATTCAGATCTATACAACCGATTCTAGTTATAATAACTTGGTTAACTTCAATTGGATACAAACAAAAAAAGAAATACGGTGGATGCATGCATGTACAAGAAAATGCCATTAATGCCCAATTGCTCAAACCTTGTAAAATATGAGAAGGTATCGCGTTGCTTGCACACTAAAGTCAATAGTATTTTCAGCCTTTATGGAAGTACATGTATGTAAAGCCAGGGTATTTATGCTGCATTATTGTAGAGCACTTAGAGACTTCTGATAAAGTAAGTGTTAGGCATAGGCCCTATGCTATAAAAACAAATACAATTATTATGTATTGTCTCTTTAGAAGAGGCACTAAAAAGAAGAAAACATTTTGCTTGCAATATATTGCAGGGCAGTTTAAGGTAAGTATGATAAAGATAACAAAAGAATATGTTGCACTTGGTTGCTTTTTGAGTTGTCCAGCATTTTCAAATTAGCACCACTACATGCATGGACAATTACTGTTACTAAATTGTTGCATAACATTTTCAGGGCATATAGTTTACTGAGGATGATTGTAATATATTTGTCCACATTTTTTCTTAATTATTTACAGTAATTCTTCAGCAAACTGGTGGCAGCAAAAACTGTCTACACCATCTCAACTTGGTCTGTACTCACGCTTGTATTGTACAAATCTTCAGTCAATGATCACAATTGGTGCTGTTTCTGCCAGTAATTCTTGTATATCTGGAACTCTGATTTCTTCCTCTGGTTGGCTTACACATGAATCAAGTACATCTCTGGCAGGAATATTGATTGCTTCATCAGTATCTGGCAGTGAGGTGTCATCCAACTCAATGTTCAAGGATGGGGGAGGTGGCAATACAGGTCCGGTAGTTACGCTTATGCAGCAGGAACGTTCAGGAAGTTCTGTGTCTTTAGTAGGCTGTTGTAGTATCCATTGACCATTGTTCATGAAGTCTATTTCAGACTGCTCAATGACGAAAGATTGTTCCACTGCACCAACCGAGCAACCTGGTACAATGTCGGTATCTGCTTGTGTACTCTCTCCATCACTCTTGGTAAGTGCAGCTTCAGGAAGAGGCATCTCCTCCAAGGTCTCCACAGCTTCTTCAATGGGCATAGAAAAATCACAAGATGGGGTTTCTATAAATCCATCAAAGGTTGAAGGTTGGAAGCCAAGTCCTCTAATCAAGAAATTATCTGTTATAGGGAGTGGTACAGATGGATACTTGGGACGAGTCTCCTCACATGGACGTTTCCTTGGCCGGCCTCTCTTTCTTGCCATGGCTTTGACTGGAGATTGAGAATGCAGGCTTTCAAATGGAGATGCATTAATATACTCTATTACTGGCTTTTTCCTTGGTCTCCCCACTTTCCTCTTCACTGGCTGGCTGTTCTCACCACATGTGGAACTCCCCATTGGTCTTCCAATTGGTCTTTCAACTTCACTGCATCCCGGAGCATCTCCTGTTTTCTTTTCTGGTTCAACAGCATCGGCTGGCCTAGGATTTTTGCGGGGTCTTCCTGGTTTCCTTCTTACATCATTGACCGATGTACAATTCTTCAGGGGGACATGTACTACAGATGGGCTAGGGTTCTTTCTGGGCCTTCCTACTTTTCTTCGTATCGTAACACTTGCTGCGTTTGGAATCTCCTTCTTGTTTCTGTTATTGTGCGATGCAATAGACTTTTCAAACAGTCTTCCAAGCTTCTTCCTAAGTTCTCCACGACCATCTGTTCCCACTGGTCCTGCTACATTTGGTATGCTTTTAGAGGACTCATCATGCTTCACAGGCAGTCTTCCCCTTCTCTTTTGAACACATTTCTCAGGAGCAAGAGCACTGTTCAACTGGTTTTGGCTCAAGGTGAAATCCTTTACAGCTTTTTGTTTGGACCTGAACAAATGTTTGCTGATTAAAAGAGGCCCCCTAGGCTGATATTCATCGATCTTCTGATTTACACTGTTACCGAATGAAACAAGCTTCTTGGGTGGTCTGCCTCTTCCTCTCTTCACGTAGTTGGATTTGGCTTTGGCTATCAAAGAAGCTTGTCTTGCTTTGAATTTCTTTTGGATTTCTTTGTTCTGGAAGCAATTCCCTCGCAACATTGCAGCATTCTTTTTTATTCTATCCAGGATCAGGGTTTTGCCCTTTTCTGTTTTCACAGAATTCGGTATGGGTAGATATTTCATGACTTTTTTGGGAGGAGGGAGGCATTTTTCATTTCCTACACTTGCCTGCATAGATTGAGCATTCTGGTCACCATAGTTCAACTTGATAGTCCTTTGAGGAGAGGTAGGCAGGCAAGACTGGAAATGACCTTGAGCATAGGGTGTGATCACCCGCCCACCTGAGCTCAAAGGCGTTGTTGATTTCACAGCTGATAAGTGATGAGTATTCCAAGACATGGAGTGGGTCCCAATATCTTTGCCTTTCTTTTCCATGTTTAGGGCATGTTTTTCAGGATGTTGGAAGAGTTGTGCGAGTCTGCTAGGGTCATCAAGATTAAGAGATCCAGTAATCAATGTCTTGGGTAACTTCTTGATTCGAACTGATGATTTTTTCGTACATCCATTTTGCAGCAGCATTGACCTATGCTGGTCCTGCTGTAGTGGCAAACCTTCGGAACAACTCTCTGCATCTGAGGTAATTCTTCTAGAATGTGTAAGCGCAGTAACTTGATTTCTTTTCTGCTTGAACATTTTAGAGTAATTCATTTCAGTTTCACTTGAACACACAATTGGAATGACCCTTTGAACTGTCACAGGTTTCCGAGGTATTCTCAATGCTGATTTACTCTCCATTTCCATCACTTCTGTTTCGTGGCTCGAACCTTCCTGCATGTCCTTTCCTGACAATCGGCCAAGAGCCAGTCCATTCAAAGCACTTGGAAAACTGGTTTTCAATAATTTTGAGTCATCCAAACTGTTGGTGACATTGGGCTTCAGACCCAATCTGGTGTCAGTATTTTCATGAACTTGATCATCTAGGATAGATGAAGGGCGATTGTCGGGTGGAGCTCTGTTTTTCATCTCAACATAATGTACTGCCTCTCCAGCAGGTCTCTTCTTCCTCGGTCTTCCTCTGCCTCTCTTTTTAGTGGTCTCACAAGTGTCCTTAGATATACATGTTTTCTTACTCTCATCTTTTGTTGAGGTATCCTCATTGGCAGCACTTCCTATCGCACTGGCAGGGCACACATTGGGTAACTTCTCATGATGATCGGGGCACTGCCTAGGTCGGCCTCTTGAACGCTTTACAGAAAGGACATCTTTTGGCAGTGTCTCTTGTGTCTGTGACTGATGATTAGGTGGATGATTGACCATTTCTACTTCTGATCCTGTCACTGCAGGGCATAGTTGATCCTGAACTCCATTAGGTACTTTGCCATTAAGTTCATCTTTTGGCAGTGTCTCTTGTGTCTGTGACTGATGATTAGGTGGGTGATTGACCATTTCTACTTCTGATCCTGTCACTGCAGGGCATGGTTGATCCTGGACTATGTTAGGTACTTTGCCATTAAGTTCAATTTCATTTGGTAAGTCTGAGTGATCATTTCCTGATGTATCATCTCTCTCAAGAGAGTTGCTAACTTCATAGGTAGTTTTGGATGTGTTCAACAATGTCATACTAGTATCTGTTGTGATGGGACCTGGTGCGGGAGGTGATGATGGAATCAAGGTGCCAACCTTGTCAATCTTTTGCTTGAGATATCGGCCACTGACTGGTGACCTGCTACCTGGTGATGAACTTTGTCTGGTCCTGAGACATCCAGGAGGATCAAAGACTTCCTCTCTCATCTTAGGAGCCGTCTTCCTGCGGAGCCTGAGTTTGGGTACTTTCTGTTCACTTACGGCAGTCCTCTTAGCACTCTTGACTGCAGTAGTCTCTTTCTCCCAAAGAGATGAGTCATTCTGTTCCCGTCTTTCTTGCTTTCCTTCATAAGTTTCATTCTCTAGTATTTCATTATTGTTGACTTTGGAGAAAGAGTGACTAATTGGACCCCCGTAGCTGGACTCCTGTCTTTTTTCTGTGTCTCCATTTGTTGACACAGTACATGTAGGATTGATGAGACAGTCATCTAAAACATCCTTTTGTATATTTGAGTCTCTGTTTGAATTCTGAATTCCAATGGCACATGGAAGAGTGCAACAGTCACCCATTTGATCCATAGGAGCTGAGACACCATCTTTTTCCACATTTGTTGCAGGTTTTTTTCTTGATCTTCCAACAGGTCGTTTTATTTTTGGCCCAATACTTCTTGGCCTTCCTACAGGTCGTTTTATTTTTGGCACAATACTTCTTGGCCTTCCTACAGGTCGTTTTATTTTTGGCACAATACTTCTTGGCCTTCCTACAGGTCGTTTTATTTTTGGCACAATACTTCTTGGATCCACTGGCCTTTCAGGTCTTCCTCTTTTCCTCTTGGTGGGTTGGAACGCTTTGTCTCCATTCATTTCCTTTCCTTCCAAGTTTCTTTCTTCTACTTTATCCTTTTCAGCTTGCAGACTGCTTTCACTGCTATTCTGAAGTAAGGTGTCAGCTGCGGGCTGTTCTCTTGTCCTTGGAGAGTGTATTTCACCATTTTCAAAAGCTGTACCTGGTGTATCTTTCTCTGCTGCAGAACAGATACCTCCCATATCATGGTAATTATGCAACTTATCTGGCACATCTGTTGAAGAAAGTTGTTCTATTATATTGTGAAAGTTCACTTCACCTGTAAATGGAATAGTGCTATCTTCAGTGACTTTTTCCACTTCCTGCCCTTGGACTTGTACTGCAGGTGCTCCTTGATTCAAAACATTACCAATGCTACTTCTATCACATTCCTGTAAACCTAGAACAGAGAAAATTGCAGGGGCTGTTTTTACTTCTTCCTTCTCTCCTCCAAGATGGAAACTCAACATGATTCCATTGTGATTATTCAACACATCAGATACATTTGTTTCCAAGTTCAGCTCTTTCCTAGGCATTGTAAGAGGAGTGTCTGTTCGTATATATCCTGTTGGAATGGGAGCATTACAGTCTTTGTTTGACAAAGAATCTGTAGGCGTTGCACTTGTAGATCCATCTACGTGATTCTGAAATTCATGCTGCATCTCGTAACTCTGCCTTACTAGACTGACTTCCTCTGTATGTGCGGAATCTTTGGTAAACACATCTTTGCCCGATGATTCTTGACCCTTTGAAAGGGTGGATCGATGATCACTTGCTTCAGTAGGAACCGACACAGCATCTATAGTTACATTAGCAGCAGGACATTTTCTTGGTCTTCCTCTTGGTCGCTTAATTTTTGGAACCGTGCTTGGGTCGATGGGTTTTCTTGGTCTTCCTACAGGTCGTTTTAATTTTGGCACAATACTTCTTGGATCCACTGCCCTTTTACGTCTTCCTCCTTTCCTTTTGGGAGGCTGAACTGTTGCAACTCCGGAATCCACTTTTCCTTTCCCATCGTCACCATCTATTCTAACTTTGGCAATTCCTCCATTGCTTTCACTGCATATCTCTAATAAAGGATCATTCAATGAAAGCTGTTCAATTGTACTCAGAGGATTCACTGAACATGTTGAAGGTACAGGGCTATCTGCCGTAACCGTCCCACCTTCCTGAACTTGTAAGGTAAGTGTTTCGTGCTGCAACAAATCAATGCCAATACTATCACTTCCTTGTGAGTTTAGAACCTTTGGTAGCCTTTCAAGCATCTCAGAGGCCACTCTCGCTCCTTTCCTTTCTTCCTCAATTTGGGCGGTCCCTCCAATTCCATGGCAACTGCTACGCTCATCAAGCAGATGTAATCCACTGTCACTATGCAAAGATCCAATCAAGTCTTCTCCATCTGATTGTACTAAAACCACGTCATCATCATCATTCGGTTGATCAAGGCTAAGACCCTGAGATATCAAGGGATCGCTGTCACATTGCAACACCTCCTGTGATGTCTCTCTCTTCTTCTGGATGCCATCACTGTTTGCGTCAAATGAAAGAATGCTTACGGGTGGAGGAGCATCAAGGCAGACGAAGGGGCCATACTGATTGGAGGTCTTCAGTATATTCTCTAGCTGTTGAACAACTTCCTGTAGAACACTCATTGTCACCCCCACTCATCAGCCCTTTGTTGAATGATTGAATGATATTGCTACGTATCGCCATAGGCCCGGTACCTGCAATGGTTATAAAATAAAAAAAATAATTTTATTTAATTGAATGTGCCGAGATTAAAATGTCACAGGAATTATAGTATTTACCTTATGTGGTTGTACTTTCTCTATATAAGGAGGGGGGGGGGGGGGGGGGGGGGGAGGGGGGCAGAGATGAGGGATGGCATAGCCCAGGGGCGGATCCAGCCAGCGGCAGGGGAGGGGGCCAAAGAGAAGAAAATATTAAGCGGCAAAACAGCCAGCCGGTGAACAAGCCGGGGGTTGATAAGAAGCACTAGTTTTTTAAAGTTTTTTTGCCCCTGAAAATTTGAAAATCGTGTTGGTTGATATTTCGCTCAGTGGGGGGGGGGGGTATGAGCACTATTTTTAATTTTTTTTTCTCCGCCCCAAAAAAATTAAAAATTGCACCCCCCCCCCCCCCCCACGCACCAGGGGAGGGGGTCCGTCTTCTTCTTTTTTTTTTAAAGGAAATTTTTTTTTTTCTCCGCCCAAAAAAAATTGAAAATCACATCCCCCCCCACCCCCCACGCACCAGGGGAGGGGGCCTGTCTTCTTCTTTTTTTTTTAAAGGAAAAATTAACATGTTTCTACCCAGGGGAGGGGGCCAGGCCCGCCCCCTTGGATCCTTCACTGGCATAACCAAGACACATCATCCCCTGTAACATCAAAGCCCTGTCCAATCACAACTCCAATACCCCAGCCACATGAATGAGACCAACTGACCAACAACAGACTGACCTTCACCAAAAAAAACACTAACAATGCCGTGGCTTGAATGGCCAAGACTTGAATGAGACCAATTGACCAACAACAGACTAACATTCCCCGAAAAATCACATAACAATACCCTGGCTTGAATGGTCAAGACCTTGTTGGTAATCAATCAATTTTTTAGTCAGTTTGTTGTGCTGAGTGGTGACTTGCATACATACATGAAGGTGTGAATATGCATACATTTAAGTACATGTACAAACATTGCCATTTTTATTTTCTAACATCTACAGTATACTGGTATTTAAAATCAGTGCTAATTTGCCAAACTCATGCTTTAAAACAATTACATATAACTCTTTGTGTAAAATCCCCCTAATGTCTACTAATGTAACTACTAGTGCTGTAACATCACGGATATCTCCAATTCCGTTTAACCGCCAGTCAAAACCGGTATTTAAAATCAGTGCTAATTTGGCAAACTCATGCTTTAAAACAATTACATATAACTCTTTGTGTAAAATCCCCCTAATGTCTACCACATTAACTTCTAGTGCTGTAACATCACGGATATCTCCAATTCCGTTTAACCGCCAGTCAAAACCAGACGGTTTTTGGTTAAAAGATTAAAAAAAAAAAATTAAAAAAAATTTGCTGACAAGCCAGGTCTGTTTGAAAAAGCGGGAAGGACTTTCATTTGACTGAATTTGGATCACGTCCGACATTGTGAAAGCCTCCGTTTAGGGCTTCAATGTCGACTTCGTCGCTCAGTACCGTCTCTACGCTATAGCTCCGCACCTCAAACTGAAGCAATCAGTCAAAAATTATGCAAACTTCTTGTATGGTTTATGTATTACGCGCATACACGATACCATACAAGAAGTTTGCATAATTTTGTACTGATAGCTTCAGTTTGAGGTGCGGAGCTATAGCGTAGAGACGGTACTGAGCGACGACGTCGAACATCGAAGCCCTATACAGAGGCTTCCGATGTTGGATGTAATCCAAATTCAGGTGGAAAATGCGATATACGATTATGATTAAAATTTGTAAAAGATTAGGCGAAAATTCCTTTGCTATGAATGGATATGAAACTGCTTTTAAAAAATGGATACGGAAGTACACTAGAACCGGAGAAGAAAAAGAAGGAGACAGAGGAGGAGGAGGAGAAGGAGAAAGAGAAGGAAAAGGAAAAGGAAAAGAAATGAAGAAAAATACTAAATCTAGTAATGATTACAAATATGTTTGAACACAATCTCTCACAAATAACACATCAAATGATCTATATGTAGGTACGTTACAATGTGTGCGCTTTTGCCATGAAGGTTTCTGCCATGGGACTGTTATGCACTATTGGAGACCATTTGGATAGCCTACGCTAATGTGATCTTTTGATGGGCTGATTAGATTTTTGTTTCATGATTTCTTTTGGATGAGAAGAAATGACATTGTTATCTTTCATATCATACTAAAATTTCTATGATTTATGTTTTCGGCAATTTGTTTTGCTGCACTGTTTCACAAGAACCGTGTTTAGTGCCATTCTGTACCCTGATCCTGCATTCAGGATCAGAAAAAAGGTGTCTAGGATGATTGGTTAACATGTGAATTTGCTTTTGGTGAAATTTCAGCAAAATCTATGAATGAGAAATATGCTTTTTGGATGAGGAATGTCACAATGTCATGCAAAAATAACGGCCCGATCAGCGGTTTTCGCATATTTACATAGATCTACATTTTTGTAAAGAAATAGAATCCTTCGGTCACATTTGAGATCACAACTTTTGTTTTAAAAACAAAGGAAAACAAAGCAATTAAATACATGATTTCCGGGCGTTTAGAATTGGCATAACTTTCTTATTACTTGGGCTATTAAGATGAATGAGGCATCAAATAAAAGGTCATATCAAGCTCTGTTTGATGGCATAAAGCAAGAGCTTGAATTTTGAGATTTAATATTTTTGTAACATAGTCTACCTCGATCTAGATCTATATTAGATCTAGACCTATGTGTAAAATTGCTCCCTACCAAAGTTAAATTATGATAGTGAACGGAAATATGAATTTGGTGTGTAACAAATAAACAAGCCATCGGCAACTCTACCAAGTACCGTACCAGTCTCTTTAAATATAAAAGATTATAGACCCTATCATGTTTTGAGTGGTTTTGAATAAAATGAAATCGAACTTGAACTCGATGCAGCAGTCCAGTGCACAGTGGACATGGTGGATGCTTCCTGGCCTGGCCCCGCCTCGCATCGCTGCACTGCAGACATATTGCACTCTGTACAAGGAGATTTTACACCCTGACACACAAACACAGTGCAGTGCCAGTGCAATTTAGCAATAAACAACATGCACGCTGGCCTGGAGCGCGAGCCAGGTCAATCAAAGTTGAAGAAAAAAATCATACTTACAAAATTAGACAGAAAATCCCGCTAAATTATTCGACTTCATCTGAGCATGCTTTATAAATGTATCTTGCCTTCTCCTTCTTCATCCCCATGTCTTTGTTTAAGCGAAGCAAAAAGCAGCACAAATATTCAACATATTTGGATATGGGTTGCTCATAGCTAAACTGAAGCGAAACGTTGCAGCCCCATTGGCTTTTCTTTGTTTATATTTCGCAGCGCACACACTAATTGAATCGTGCGGAAACCTCGACCAGAGCACGACTCGCACTGTAACGCGTCGTCTCGAACACCCCGCCCCCTGCAGAAGTGGAAGTAGTAAAAAAAATAATTAAAAATTGCCGTTCAAAGCAATTACCCGCTCTAAAGTCGAAAGTTTACTCCCGGGATATCAGGAGCACGAGGAAACATTCTGAAGAAACAAAATCTTCTTCTTTCAGCCAACAGAGCGACTCTTATGATTGTTGGATTCCCCTAGATATACGCCACAATGCGGATCCATTGCCTTATGGCCCGCATGCAACTTTTTTAAAACCTATATCAATTAATCAAAGCGGTTTGGAAAGAGGTAACTAGACTTTGATTAATTTTTGCTTTGCTTCACTATTTATAAAGGCAAAGATAGGAAGGAACTGGGATTCGCCGACCCCGGTGCACTATTATACTCTATATAATATGATTATGAGGCTGACTTTTAATAGGCCTACTGATTGAGCCAAGTCAGCCAAAGAAATTGTTGTCAAGTTCAAGTTTTATTTTCCACATTCCATTAATAACATACCATTAAAAACATAAATAATATGAACAACAACATAATTGTGTATATAAGCAATATATTATACAGTAAAACGAAAGATGTGGAAGGGAACCCATATAGGCCATATTGCATCGAGGCCCGTGGCGTACGCAGGATTTTTTCACTGGGGGGGGGGGGGGGTTAGAATCGGGCCCCCAAAATCGCAACGACTCAGCCAGCCGCTAAATAAGCGGGGGGGGGGGGGTGTAAGAGGACACTTTTTTTTAGGTCAGCCATTGGCATAATTTTTTAATTTTTTTATTTAACCCCCCCCCCCCCCCCCCCCCTCCTGCGTACGCGCCTGATCGAGGCAGAACCCTATAACAAATTAATCGGACAATAATGTATACTATAAGCGCAGAATATAACTTAACAAACCAACAAAGTAAACTCAAACAGGATTGAACGAACACCCTAAGAAATAAATTAAGAGTAAGTAGGTGCATGATTGGAAATTCATTTTTATTACATTTTCATAAAACATCAGTGGAATTCCCTTTCTAATTAGAGGAATACCTGTTACTTAATTGAGAGTCAGATGAGCTAGAGAAGCGAATGGAACAGATTAAATGTCAAAAACTGTCAAACTGTTAACCTATTCAAAACTAGTCTTAAGACACATTTATTCAAAATTGCTTTCGCTGATTAATTAACTCTGTTCACTTTCATGTACAGGGTGTATATGTATTGTAATTTGTAGGTTTATTTGCACTTTTTTGTTTTGTTTAATATGTAATTGTTTATCAGTCTATTTTGTTTGTTATAGCGCTTAGAGACTTCGGTGGTAAGCGCTTTATAAGTAACGTTTTATGATTATTATTATATGATTGAAGTTTTCCGTTTTTTTCTGCCAGGTTCATACTTTTAAATTTTGTATAATATAGAGTGGTGAAGTATGACGTCATTAAAAAATCTGTCTTTAGAATTTCTCAATTTTTTTCTTCATTTTCAGAAAGAGCATCAAAAATAATGTCCAAATGTCGGAAACCAAGTATTGGCTGAGATATGACCATCTGAATAAATAGATGTCCTATAGGAACTTAGTGTTAATGCTCTGGCTCCTAACCATTAGGAGCCAGAGCATATTATAACGCTGAGTTCACAACTTTATCAATTGGTTTTCGACATTTGGACAGATTATTTTTGATGCTCTTTCGGAAAATGAAGAAAAATTGAGAAATTCTAAAAATATATTGTTTTTAATGACGTTACAGCTTCGGTACTCAGGCGGTGGAGTGACTTCCAAAGTGGGGGGGGGGCACACTAACAAAAAGGGCACTTTCTTGGAAAGAAAAGGGCACCTTCATAGGAAAATCTCAAAGGGGAAGTGGCTCTTATCAAAAAGAAAAAGAAGCACATGTAAAAATAAACGGAGCACTTATCAAAGATGAAAAGGGGTAATTATGAGGGTGCCAGGTAAAAATGTCAGAGGAAAAAATGTCAGAGGAAAAAATGTCAGAGGTAAAAATGTCAGAGGTAAAAATGTCAGAGGTAAAAATGTCAGAGGTAAAAATGTCAGAGGTAAAAATGTCAGAGGAAAAAATGTCAGAGGTAAAAATGTCAGAGGAAAAAATGTCAGAGGAAAAAATGTCAGAGGTAAAAATGTCAGAGGTAAAAATGTCAGAGGTAAAAATGTCAGAGGAAAAAATGTCAGAGGTAAAAATGTCAGAGGTACAAGCAAAACAAATGAGTGCCGTCATAATATCTCAGCACTTTATCACTCAGAATGTCAAGACGTACAGCTACTGCATGGGCTAGTCTATTATATTCCTTTCTAAATGGATGTGTTGTATATCGTACATGTCCTGAAGATAATATAATGTGGAAAATAGATTTTGAAAATTTTTTTTTTTGGGAAGCAATCAGAGAAGGTTAATCATCTAGCATAAACATGTAAGTATTGGTGTGTAGTGCAAGGTTTTGGAGTCATCAAAATGATAAATAATTTGGCCCAGTCTTGGTAAAGTAACAAGCACTGTAAACAGAAAGATATTGATATGGGACTACACAAACATATGGCATACAAATCGGGCAGGCATACAAAGATGTTACTTGTTATATCTGGGATATGAAGTCATTTGAAATAGATTTTCAGGGAATAACTTTTTTCTTTGATGTTCTATTACACTTGCATTGAACGCTCACAAATAATTTTTTTTTTTACCTTTCCCCAGAACTCAACCTTCTCTTTAATTGATGTAACATGGGCGGCTTTCTGCTTTGTATCGGAGTAACAAAGCTGCTTATTGATTTTCTCCCAGACTATTTTATACCGCAATAGTAATCGACAATATTTTATTGCAACGCGCGCACTTCGGGAATGTGATGGTGCGGTTAGCATTGATAACATGGCTTTCTGCTTGTTTCAGAGTATCAAAATACCAAGCCCTCAAGAAAGTGGAATTGTCGGAAATATGCATTTATTGGAAATTACATATAATAGTAGACATTGCCACGCAGTTAAAATGTCCAACAATCTTCAAATACGAAGGAGAAGTAGGAGGGGGAAGGTTCATAGATATCTGATCCTATTTTGGGGCTGTACTGACTTTTCTTTTTATTTAATGATTACACCATGGAGCGACAACTCAGCCTATAAAACATGGCCAAACTTCTCGATTTTAGAAATCTTTTTCCCCAGAAGTTTGCTCAGTGTACCAGTACCATTTGCTTATACAAAAACATAATATACTGGTATATAAATATTGAATAAGGCAGACTAATGGGACGTGGATGGTGTACTCCGAGTTTCAAGCCTTGCAAGCGGTCATCAGACAACTGATAGCATTCTTCAAAGTATATGATTCCTCTACAACCAGGGCTCAAATTAATTTTTTGGGGCTCAAATTAATTTTTTGTCCACGGGGGCTCTTCCCCCAAAAAAGAGCCCCCGTGAGCCTTCTCACGGGGGCTCTTTTAGTACTGACGGGGGCTCTCTGTTATACAAATATCCATTGAATTGGTACCTATGATACTCCTCAATTATTTGCTATTTCATCATTATCATTTCAATCAGCATTTTCCCTCTTACAAATTTACAAGCTACATAGCTGTTACTGGCCTGTGTATATAATATATACGCATACAACACTGATCTTTATGATGTCTTTAACGTGACATATCTTCTTCTCCCCTTGCAAACGAGAAAGAAAACAAGGTCATTAAAAGGGATTAAGCGACAAATAATGATTGTGATTCAAATTGATGCGAATATTTGGTTGAATAAGCACTGCTATTCACCCGAATCTTCTTTGTAAAAACAACTTTTACAATTCTCAGCCATGCTTACTGAGTTGAGACGTTCCATTCAATGTAAAATACTCATTACAGAATACACTTCTCCTAATCTGAAAGTGATCTTACAACACAGTGGCAGATTTGCATGGCTGAGATTTGTAAAAGTCGTTTTTACAAAGAAGATTCTGGTGAAAAGCATTGCTTATTCAAAAAAATCCTTGCATCAATTTGAATCACAATGATTATTTGTCGCATGATCCTTTTATTAAATAACCTTGTTTTTTTTTTTTTTAATGATTACACCATGGAGCGACAACTCAGCCTATAAAACAAGGCCAAACTTATCGATTTTAGAAATCTTTTTCCCTAGAAGTTTGCTTAGTGTACCAGTACCATTTGCTTATACAAAAACATAATATACCGGTATATAAATATTTAATAAGGCAGACTAATGGGACATGGATGGTGTACTCCGAGTTTCACGCCTTGCAAGCGGTCATCAGACAACTGATAGCATTCTTCAAAGTACATGATTCCTCTACAAGTTACAACCTTGGTATACGCTCAAAATAAGACTTAACTAATACAATACAATAAGACAGCGGTGAAATAACGACTGCAGAATATCCCTCGCTGTTCTTTTTCGATAAGCCTGATATATAGCCCGGGTGTAAACATAACAATCTTGTCACATGCTTTTGTTTTTATTTTAAACTCTGACATTTTTACCTCTGACATTTTTTCCTCTGACATTTTTACCTCTGACATTTTAAACTCTGACATTTTTACCTCTGACATTTTTACCTCTGACATTTTTACCTCTGACATTTTTTCCTCTGACATTTTTACCTCTGACATTTTTACCTCTGACATTTTTTCCTCTGACATTTTTACCTCTGACATTTTTTCCTCTGACATTTTTACCTCTGACATTTTAAACTCTGACATTTTTACCTCTGACATTTTTACCTCTGACATTTTTACCTCTGACATTTTTACCTCTGACATTTTTTCCTCTGACATTTTTACCTCTGACATTTTTTCCTCTGACATTTTTACCTCTGACATTTTAAACTCTGACATTTTTACCTCTGACATTTTTACCTCTGACATTTTTACCTCTGACATTTTTTCCTCTGACATTTTTACCTTTGACATTTTTACCTCTGACATTTTTACCTCTGACATTTTTACCTCTGACATTTTTACCTCTGACATTTTTACCTCTGACATTTTTTCCTCTGACATTTTTACCTCTGACATTTTTTCCTCTGACATTTTTACCTCTGACATTTTAAACTCTGACATTTTTACCTCTGACATTTTTACCTCTGACATTTTTACCTCTGACATTTTTTCCTCTGACATTTTTTCCTCTGACATTTTTACCTCTGACATTTTTACCTCTGACATTTTTACCTCTGACATTTTTACCTCTGACATTTTTTCCACTGACATTTTTACACCGAGCCATATGAGAAGGGAAAGGGGCAATTATAAGAAGGAAAAAGAGCATTTATTAGGAAGGAAAAGGGGAACGTGTAAAAATTTAAGGGGCATTTATAAGAGGTGAAAAGAGCACTTATCAGGAGGGGAAGGGGTGCTTGTCAAAGTAAAACGAGTAGGCTATCTCTCATTATTGAATAGGGTCATTTTCATAGATGAAAAGGGGCATTTATGAGAAGGGAAAGGGGCTCTTTTTTTAAATGGGGGCACTTATCATAAGGAAAAGGGGCACTTATTAAAAAGGAAAGGGGCACATGTGAAAATATAAGGTGTGCTTATCCGAGTTGAAAAAGGGGTAGTTATTAAAAGAGGAAGGGGTACTTTTAACAAAGGAAAAGGGGTAGGCCTACGTGTAAAAAAAAGGGGGCACTAATCATAGATGGAAAGGTGGAAAGGGGAAGGGGCACTTTTAAAAGTTAATAGGGGCACTTCTTACAAAGTTAAAGGGGCACTTTTCCTATGTAAAAAGGGGCACTTTTGGGGTACTTGAAAAAGTGGGGGGGGGGGGGGGAACTGTACATTTTTGTAATATTGAAAAATAAGTCTGTTCAATCAGGGAGGTCCTTCTCATCTCCCTGGCCTGGTTCATGGTTGCACCAGGGAGATCATTAAGTCAAATCTTCCTGGTTGCACAATTTCCCCATACAAATAGTACAATAAAATGTGGTAAATCGTTGTTCGGTAAATACAAAATGATGGGTTTGCATGATTACGATAACCCTAACCAATCCTGACCGACGATGTCCACCTTGACAATGACCACTTCCCCTGGAAAGATTGCCCCCCCCCCCCGAAAATTTGCCCTTGGGGGTGTTTGTCCTAGGAGGTAATTTTCCGGGGAGTAATTTTTCGGGGGGGGGGGGGGGGGGGACTACTGTCACCGGTCCAGCGTTGAGGGTGTGTTATTTTGTCAGCTGATTGGAATCGGGCGTGCGACATGGACACAGTCGAGGGCTGTGGACTAGGCTCAGTCGCCCCGTTACTCTTGCGTGCCTATTCTCTCAGATCAGGGCTAAGGGAACCGGGAACACCGGACTCTCGCTTCAGCTTCAGCAATATTTGCAAGTGTAGCTGAAGGAAATCGGATCGGAGAGTGATAAATTATGCCTTGCACTGCAATTGGGCTTCCGGTCACAGCATTAGATGTGACAGAAAATTACATTTTAGCAGGTGAGTGTGGTTTAATAAATGAAATGTGATTGTGAATGATATTGATAATGATATCACTGATCCAGGGAGCTCCGACCCCGATGCCGAAGGCTTCCGGCTTAAGCGTCGGCGTCGGCGTCGAACTCCTTGGAGTTACCATTCCTGCTGCCAGAAAATCTTGCAACTTTTCATTCGAATTTCACAAGTGGACTCTTGCTCTTTTTGATAAAAAGCAATTTGAAATGGGTCAAGAATTCAACTAAAATGTGGAACCTGTTCATTTTACTGGAATGATAATTAATTAACCATCCCAGTATAGCTTCCCGAGTGAGCTGCCAAAGGGATTACCCAACCAAGTAGTACCAAGTACTTTGCTGAATTAGATTCTCGATCCATGTTAGATCTTCAGTATGGATTTCGATTTTGACCCATAATTTCCTAAAAAGGGACCATTAAACTGATTATTTTAGTCAAGTTGGTAAGTGGAACTGATTTATTATAGCCTAGGCCTAATTTACAATATAACATGCACGAGGTAAAATGACATTTGAGGGGATTTTCGGGGCATTAAAATATGGCCATAAATGGCCATGGTGTTAGCAAGGGAATGCGAATAGTCGGCTTCCGTCTCTAAAGAGAGAGCCGACCCTACCCCAATAAGAGACTAACGAACGAAAGAGACAGAAAATTCGGTCTAGTTTATTACCTGTTTCGTGTCAATTTTCTTGTTATTTTTGGAATATTTTTCGGAAAAACAGTGATTTTAGTATACACTTTTTCAAAGGTTTCACGACAAACCGCTGCACAATACAAGTGCATACTAATGGTGGGTTGCGGGCCGGCGCGCGCCTGTGTGAAGTTATCTACCGTAATGTCTCAGATCCTCATTACGGTAGATAACTTCACACGGCCGCAGGTTATACAGAGCAAATGCAAGCTAAAAACTACATATCTTATAATAAGCTTCTTTTTTTTTTAGTTCAGCTTCTAATTTAAGGCTCAATTCTCAAATTGGATTGGACTTTTGTCAACGTTTAAAAGCCCAAGTTACAAAAGAAGAAGTAGAAGAAGAAAAAAAAGAAATAGAAGAAGAAGGAGGAGAAAAAAGAATACTGGTAAAGAGAAAAAGTAGGAGCGGAAAGAAAGCAAGAAAAAGGAGGAAAAGAATGGGAAAGATATAAGATAGGAAAGGAAAAGGGGTAATTTAGATCTAGATGATGAAGAAGTATAATTCCTAGAATCTCTGGCTATTAATCAATCATTTGAATTAGTTCGGTTGTAAAAAAAACTATGTAACTCAGTGCAAGTTTAGAACATTCTTGCCAAAAAATCATGTCATGATTTTCTCCTTTTATTAATGTTCAGGTAAATTTCAGATATTTGTTTTTGAAATCATGATAGGTGAAGGCCCATATCTCCACTTGTATGACCTTTCTGCTGGACAGTCTTCAAGGGTTAGCTGTAAAGTTCTCCATCACCAAGTAATTCATGGTATAAGAAAAGGTGAGAAAGGACCCCAATTCATCATGTAAGGCACGTATGAACCGTTATCAATTTAATAAAAACAATGCTCTTTCAGAAAAAAATATTTAAATTAGGATCAGAGGGTTTCATTCAGCTTCAACTCTGAAAAAAAAATTAAAAATGGAAAGGCACTAAATAAATCGAACACAGAAACAGTTATTAACTTTCATTTTACAAGATGCTAAAAAAAATATGATACAATAACAACAAACCCAACAACAAACAAACTAATAATAGACAAACAGACGAGCAAAATATAGTTAAAGTTATTATCTTCATTACATTTACTTGACGTTGTGATTTCAATGTTTTTGGTTTCATTTATTAAAGACGATTTTAAACATTTTATCCTTTTGTAGGCCATGGATGCATATTTGTTGTGTTCGGGCAGAAGGCAATCAACTTCATCAGGATAGATTGGAGAAACAAAAGGTACACCAATTCTACATTTATGAAATAAAAGTAAAAATATGTTTAGGGTTTGGAGCCAGAAGAGTGTAATCTCATATGAATTTACACAGAGTTAACACCCTCCTGGCTCCAAAAAGACAACATCTTCTTTATTCAATTTCATAAAAAACCAAGATGGTATGGTAATAGCTGAAGGCTTGAAAGAAAAGTAGTGTGAGGAAAGATGGAAAAGGCAGAAAATAATGTAAGAAAAGAAAGAAAATGAGAGATTAGAATATGGTAGAATAATATTAAGTAGATTTAGAAATGGGAGAGATAAGAGAAAAGAGAAAAAGACTGGATGCAGAGAGGGGGGCAAAAAAGAAAAGAGAAAGGCAGAGGAATGTGGAGGGATATATTTAGAGTGTCATAACTTGTGGTTCTAAATTAAAATATCCCAGGATGTTGATTTCATTATTAAACTTTATTTGCAATTAAACTTGAGTGTGTGCATGTGTGTGTGTGTTTGTTTGTTTGTTTGTTGTTGTTTTTTTTTGGGGGGGGGGAGGGGGAGGGGTGATTCAATGGGTATTCAAGTTTCAACAAAATTAACAATCTTTTGCAAGCTGTTCACAACTTGTCGTTGTGACCTGCATTGGACAGGTTTATTTGGGGAAATAACATAGCATTTTCTAACATCTCTCTCTCACAGCATATGTGTACTCAATAAAGTTCATGAAGTCACAGACTGGATATGGGACGTATGCTGGCTGCAGTCAGATGACCTGAATGACCGGCCTGCATCCAATGACCGTTCCCCCCAAGATGGCTGCCAAGGAGAGAAGAAGAGACCTCTGTCAGACGGCTCCCTTTGCAACACCTCAGTGGCCATTGCAACCGGCCACAATGCTGTTCTTTTGTGGGATGTTACTAAGAGATGTATCGTAACGACTGTTCACTGCCAAGAAAACTGTATTCTGTATCCTTCTCCCTAACGTCTCATAAATTTACCCATTGCTCAAGGGAACAAAGCTGTTGTGGTATCAAGTTTAGAGGGAATATAAGAGAATTCAGTAGTCCAGAGGCTAGGAAACTTATGATCTACATGTATCTGTAGTATCACGTATTAGTCAAAACATATTCTTTCACATGATTGGTAATAAGAGCTTCAATTTCATTTTTTGAGAGGGGGGCATTTCCAAAACTGGTCTTTACCTTTAAGATAGACCATATGAATCAGGATCAGGACAAAAATTGAAAATTGCTCAGACTGCTTTCTCAGATTATACCTTAACCGACTTAACCGTCTTTAGGTACTGTGCAAAGTTCATAGGTCAAACCTGGGGTGACCTGGTGTTGGCTGCTGGTACGGTCTTCAACCAGGTAGTATTCTGGCGCCCTCAAGGTCCCAAAGATGCGTCGGGGCGTGTTGTAGTCGATCACCGCTCCAAGGGACATCAGGTTAGTTAGCAAAGATGGGCTGTTTGAAGGAACTGTTTGTAATCAGTTCTCTTACAAATTTAAGGCTTTTGAAGTTTGATTCAAAGTGGGACTGCACTACTTGTAGCTACTTGCACCCTCTATATAGCCAACGATGCCCCAATGCTCCCTTTTTTCTTATGTTAAAGATAAACTTGAGTTCTGGTAAAAAAAAAGAAAATGAATTCTCACAGAATCAAACAAAACTTACACTGAATGTTCAAGATTACAAATAAATGACATGTGCCAAACAATTTTGGAAGAAAATGTCTACTGGCTGAGTAATGAGCATAGAAAGACAAGGAAATCAGGTAGTACCAGCCCCGACACCATGTGTGTTGTCCCATATATAGCTTTCTGTGTACAGTGCTTGTTACTTTACCAAGATTCGGTCAAATTTATTATGATTTTGATGACTCTAGAACCTTGCAGTGCACACCAATACGTACATGCTATGCATGATCAACTGTTTCTGATCCTTTCCACACCTTTTCTTTCACAATGCAATCGAATTACCAGTTCTAAAGTTTATCTTTAATTGAGAGCTGATTTGATGAGATAACCACCTGTCAGTGACCATGCAGGGAGGTCTAATCCCCCTGGCCAAACTAGTGCAGATGGGGTTTAAGATAAGGGAAAGGGGAAAGGCAACAAGGGATTATTTTTTACAAACCCTGCCCACACCCTTCTCTTGCACAATAGCCATGTAATCTAGCATTTATAAGTGGCTGGACCCATGCTACGCCACTGTGTAAATGTAAGAAATTATGATAATATGAGGATGTGGCTCTGTATCGTTACTTTGCATCGTTAATCCCTGCAATTTATTTTGAAGGCCATATCTTTATGTACTCTGTTCTGTTGGAAAGGGGGGGGTGCGGCAGGGGTCATTCCCCCATGTTTTGGGGTGATGGCAAATTCTATCTGCCTTCTCTTTTTTTTTTTGGGGGGGGGGGGTGAAGACTAATAACATATATTGATAAATGACTATTTAAATCTGGTATTGAATGTAGACTTATTGATGCAAAATTTTGTGATGTGTCTAGCAGATTGCAATACCTCTTACCTCCGTCAAATTGGCTAATTGTTCTTGCTTGCAGGGAGTCATCTTCAATATCACATACAATGCAGAATTAGGACTGCTGGCCACCGTCTCTGATGATCGCAGCATCCGCTTGTGGCGCTACCACCATCCTTTTAGAGAATCGGGAGAAAGACCCCACGAGGCTGAGCGTGTGCTCTATGGACACAGTGCTAGGGTCTGGTGTGCTGAAATTCTCAGTGATAAGATTGTTAGTGTTGGAGAGGTAAACAAATATATTGTCCTTATTATGAAATTTTTTAACTTTTGAATTCAAATTGCAAATCTTTTATATAAGATTGTTAATTTTGGAGAGGTAGGCAGTGATTTTGTCCTTTAAAAAATGTTTAAAAATAATTATTGATTGAATAGCATAGACAAGTAAATATGAATAAGAAATGTTCTTTTTTATGCTTTCTACTGAAAATTTGATGAAAGTCTATCACAATTTAATTAATATGTAAAACTTGTATCGAAGCTCCATTTTGTAGTGATATTCCTTATTTTCTTTTTACCAAATAGGATGCCACATGCTGCATCTGGAACATGGATGGAGAAATAGTGCAGAAACTCAAGAGTCACAAGGTGTGTATATATATCTAGAAACAAAGATAAGATCTCAGACTGTGGACCTGTGACTTCTTGAAATTTATGTTTTTAGGAATTCCATGGTGATACCACGGGAGTGTTCACAAAGACTAAGATCAACTTAAGTTTGACTTTAACTATGGCAGGCCATTCATGCCACTGTTTGCTCCTACTATTTACTGGCTCAAGGGACGTACACATCGTGGTCACAAATCTACAGAATATAAATTTTTTGATAATTCATTATTGAAGGGAAGAAGAAAAAAATTCTGTAGATTTGTGACGTCACTTGAGAGACCAATGGTAAGAGCAACCAGTGGCATGAATCGCCTGCCATAGTTAAGTCCAACTTAAGTCGATCTTAGTCTTTGTGAAACACGCCCCCTGATGTCACTGCCTAAATATATATCGGTATCTAGAAAATAAAAATTTCTTCTCCACAATCAGTAATTTTTTAAAGTAATTTTTTAAAAGTATTATTCTATTATTGTTGTTAAGGGAATGCTGCTTCAGACTACTATGGTACAATAATATAGTAGTTAACAACTAAACTGTTCATACCCTTGCCAAGTTTTGTAATTGTTTAAGTATGTGAAATATTGATTTTTCCAGATTTATGTTTCTAAAGAATGTGACATATTGAAGCCTTCACCTATTCAACAAAGGCGCCAATTCAATCAGTCCACCTTTCATTCTTGAGTTACGGAAAAAACACAAAACATCTAATTTACAAGGGGTATGAACAATTCATTTTTGTAACTGTATATTTTTAATGCTGGAAGTATTCCAGTGAAAAGAGATATACTTGTTTTACTTGACCAACGGTGTGCTCTTCTGTGCACAAGAATATGGAGTATTTTTTTTCTTGCTTATTAAAAATTTGATAAAAGTAAAAAGTGACAGACATCAGGGACCCATTTCACAAGGCCTTTTTTCAAAGACAAATGACAATATCATTGACCAATCATGCTGATAACTAATCAGAAACAGGGATTTCACTCGCTCTCATTTGTCACTGACGACAAGTCTTGTGAAATGGGGCCCAGAAAGTGACATACATGACTGCAACATTCCTCTTCAAACAGGGCAAGAGCATTTGGAGTTTAGCAGTACAGAAAGAGGGATCATTTGTGGTAAGTTTAAACAAAAATTAAAGTTTAGTATCTTAAAGGCATCATTTAACAATATTAAATTTGAGATGCACGACGCTATCAGTGTCTGTGATATGGTGCAATATTCAAGCCCTGAAAAAAAATTGCGCTTCAAAATGATCAAGAAGTGCCTCAAAAAAGTAAAAATCTTTGAGTGACCGGTTTTACCATACTCTGGTTCCCCAATAGACTGTAGGGTTTGCCAAACGGTTTTAAAATTTGTAATTCCAATCATGAATATCTTAATAATCAGACAGGCGATCGGCTTGTAAAAGTCATGGGGTTCCTGACTGACCTAAAGGTTTATAACTATAATTGCAGTATGAGCTAAATCCAGGATTTTGTTTCAGAATCTGAGAGAAAGTTACCGGATCCCTTTAAATGACAACTTCCTTTTACATGACAAGTTCAGTTCATTTCCATTTGTACATCGTAAGTTTCAGAGTATGTAATAATATTTTTGTTATGAATTGGCATGTATGTAAGTTATTTGGTATCTGCATCTGTCTGTGTTCTCAACACTTGACGAACATTTTAGCATGAGATAAGCTGCATTGTAAGATCTTCAGTTGATCATTTTTGCATTGAAACTTTGCTGTATCTCTGACAATAATGCAATATCATTGTTTTCAAACATTAACTGTATATCGGGTTATCAATATTTATATTTTCACTCTCTGTGATTAATCTACCTTTAGGTGACAGGGGGTGGAGACAGCAGTATAAGAAGATGGTCTCTACAGAACAAGAAACATCATGCATCAGGTTTGGAACAAATTTTCTGTTTCATATTTAAGTATTAACAGTGTAATACATATATCGGCTGACTCAACAACCGAGTGCATACCTGCTTACCCTTCCAAATGATCCGGAATAATTCTGATTTTACAAATAAATTTTTTTTTTTAAATTGTTGTTGCTGTTGTTGTTGTTGTTGCTGTTGTTGTTGGCTGAAGCCAAACTAAGCTTGTATTATCATGTGTACTGCGATTTGAGAGTTTGAGTACTGCGTGCGTTGAATGGCTGCATGATCAAGCAGCGAATATGCATGTGCAGTTTTGTCTCTCTCTAGCTTCATAAGATCAAAGGATTCATACCCACACTGCTAAGTTCAGTGATGGAAGAGAGTCATCGGCTCCATGTCTGTCATCCTGTAAGTTCTGTCTCTCTCTCTCTAGATACAAAAGATCATAGGATTTATACCCCCACTGCTAAGTTCAGTGATGGAAGAGAGTCATCCGCTCCCTGTCTGTCATCCTGTAAGTTTGTTTCTCTCTCTAGCTTCATAAGATCAAAGGCTTCATACCCACACTGCTGAGTTCAGTGATGGAAGAGAGTCATCCACTCCCTGTATGTCATCCTTTAAGTTTCTTTCTCTCTCTCTCTCTCTCTCTCTCTCTCTCTCTCTCTCTCTCTTTAGCTTCATAAGATCATAGGATTCATACCCACACTGTTATGTTCAGTGATGGAAGAGAGTCATCCGCTCCCTGTCTGTCAGCTGTAATTTTCTGTCTCTCTCTCTTTAGCTTCATAAGATCATAGGATGCACACCCACACTGTTATGTTCAGTGATGGAAGAAAGTCATCCGCTCCCTGTATGTCATCCTGTAAGTTTCTGTCTCTCTCTCTCTAGATTCATAAGATCATAGGATTCATTACCACACTGCAAAGTTCAGTGATGGAAGATAGTTATCTGCTCCCTGTATGTCATCCTGTAAGTTCTCTCTCTCCCTCTGTTTTTTTTTTTGTGGTTTTTGTTGTTGGCTGAAGCCAAACTTATCTTGATTTGGCTAATTCTTTTTCTAAAAATACCCCCCCCCCCCAGTTGTGGTACCAACAGGGACAGTTTGTATTTGTAGAGAGAAGAAAACATTTTTATTTTTCTCTTTTTTTATTTATCAAAAAAGAGACTTTTAATCATGCGAACAAAGATTTAGTCACTAGTTAGGTCAAGTTGACATTTTCCCCAACACTCAATGTACTGCACATTCTTATATTAAGATCATCCCTTATTGAGCACATGTCCTTGTTTTGTTTTCCCAGGGAGAACAACTCCCTGGTTTTGCATTGCATGCATGCACTGCATATTGCCGCACGTACATACATGACATCGACGATACTGACGTTAGTTTTGGACTTACCGGTAAATTTCATGTTGTGAGTTACTGTCAGTTTAATTCAAAATGCCGGGGAACTGCCATTTTCATGATGCCTGGTTGGATTATCCGACATTATAGCGAATGGATTTTGAAAGTAAGCTCCGATTCAGAAACAGCTAGATGCAGTGTCTGCCAGTGTAAGTTCAATGTACGCAACATGAGCGAAGCAAAGCAGCACTGCGCGCTGAGCTCTCCCTTTTGTACATCGTTTATCATGGCGGTCACATGTTTACTTTATGTGCCACATTTTCCCCTGGGAAAGTCATGAAAAGTCATGGAATTTTATTTGGCAAAAAGTGTACCAGTACGAACCCTGTGATTACATCAGTATATAGATAGTTTAGTGTGTACACAATTTCTAAAGCTGTGCAATCATTTTTTTTTCATCTTAGAAATATATTTCTGTATGTATCTACACAAATAAAAAAACCTGTCATGCTTTTGAATTACTGACGATAAAGAATGGCTCTGCAAGTCTAAAATATATAAAAATATCTTATTACTGTAAAGTTATACTTTGCCATTTAGAATGTAAAGTTCAAAAGTAACAAATGATGTTAATGCCCTTCTGGCTCTGTGCACACGATACCATGTTATGTCTCTGTTTACATTAATTGTAACACAAATGGCAAACTAATTTTTGTATTTTATACAGTATAAATCTTGAATCTTGAGCTCCTTCTACTTCCAGTCTGGCATATTATCATAAATTATCTTACGTGCACATGTACTTTATAACTATCCTGAATGAATAGACGTGTCTGGTTGTATAATTTCTTCTCTGCAATCAGCCGATACAGCTACCTCAACCTGGGATGTCCAGAGAGACGTCAAGACACTTATAGAGGTTCGAGAAGGGGTCAAGGATGTAGTGGACGCAGACCTGGTACCCAGGACACTGGCCATTACATCTAGCGGTCAGCTACTGGTCATGACACAGGGAGGGTGAGTGACAGAGGGACATTTCTGATTCAAGCTGAACTTGAACTTTGTACTTTGAAAGAAACTGGAGTAGATTCATCCCAATTTGATTAGTGAATTATTGATGTTGCAAACAATCAAGAACAGATTGACAACTCTGTGACGTATCTTGCGGGCTCCCCTCCGATTTGCCCTGTGCTAAAAAAAAAAAATTCAAAACTTTATATTTTTCCTTCAGTCATATTTCAGTCATATATTCACCCTAAATATGATTATTGTTGCAAATATGTTTTTATACAACCCCTATTACCCCGATTTGAAACAATTCAATTCCGTCATAAATAACAACGAAAAAATATGGTTTATGAAATTTTCTGTGAAGAGCAAATTGGAGAGGAGCTTGCTTGATATGTCACAGCGTTGTCAACTTGTGTTTCACTGATGACTTAAAAAGTTCATAGCTTTCCAATTTCTAATTGAACTGCAATTGTGTACAACAGAGATAGGAGAATTGATTTATACCAACTGCAAATCAATAACAACTTTTTTAATAATCTGGAAAATTACATAGGAATGAGTTATGTGAAAGGATGGTATTTAATTGGAATGTAGTTGTGAATAAAAGTAGAAGATATCAAATCTATTTTTTTTCTTCTTTTTTCCCAGATATTTGTTTAGTTGGTCCAATATTTCATCATCGTACCATCTGGTGTTGCACGATGATAATTACCGGTCCTACAGCGTCATGGCTTCGGCACCATCATCACCACTGGTTGCTATGGGCAACATCCATGGCACACTCAAAGTCATCTTACTAGGTAAAGATTTGCTTATGTGTTGATCTTTGAATTCTGCATAAAGGAGCTAGCACTGGTTATTATATGATTTATTAAAAGGAAACACTGACTTCCATTTACAAAAAAAATTTGTGAACTAGGGAATCATGAATTGCTAAAAAATAACAATTGACAACGGTTGTTGATATTATTTATTTATTTATTTATTTAAAATGGTTTATTTCATTAAAAAACATTCGCGGCCCGAGAGCCGAATTGCAGTTTCTTTTACAAGGTATACATCAGTGACAAAGTAAAATTACACGTAAAATTAATTTGTTAAAGGACACTTATAGAATGGAACGTCATTGTAGTGCATGGAAATTTTGAATCATCTGGGAGAGGGACACAGGAATTTTTCCAACAATAGCTCACATACTTTCAAAGTGCATGTACCATTAAAGTGAGGCTACGGTGTGTGAGCTTATTAATCTGTAAAGGCAAATCAGACTAATTAATGCTACACCAGTTGTTAGTTAAAATTTATAAAAATTGTGATTCATGAAAAACAGGTAATGAGTGAAACAGATAATGTACAAACCTTGTTTGATATTCCGAAGAACATCAAGTGATACTGTACATGTATATCTTACAGTTACAGTCCTATCTATCTTTCTGTATTTATTTTTACATCATACTAGATGACCATTCAACTAGTGAAAGTGAGATCAAGGCATCTGATGGTAATGTTTTTAACGTCACTTGGGCTACCAATGAGGACTTATTCTCAACTGGGATGGATGGAAAGTTGGTAGGTATGCTTTTAATTATCCATTGATAGACAGAGTTAAAGATCATCATTTATTGTAGAGATGATATATTGCTCATTTCATATATGATCAAATAAGAGTCATTTTAAACAAGCCTTATTGTGTTTTTTTTTATGATCCTGCCACTCTTATTTATGACAATAAAATTTTCCCATAATTTTATTATGTGTTAACTCATCTTTGTGATATTTAGTACTTAGGGCACTTGTCAATAAGTAATAATGATAATAATAATGGGATTAATAAGCATGTTACCGTAGGATACAAGGCTGAATGACTCCAATTTCTTTCTCATTTCACTAGAAATCTCTATGTATTTTATGCTTTTGCAGACCTGGTGGAAAGTTAGAAAGAGCCCTTCACTAGCCTTACATGCCCATGCTCACTTCACTTTGCCCCCGTGTAAGCAGCGTTGGGCTACCTCGGTCACTCTCTTTGGAGAGGATCAATTTGTGTGTGGAGATAGGAGGGGATCAGTTCATCTCTTTCAGCGCAGCCACCTTCAGGTTAGTGTTGTTTGAGATATGAAGTGTGGTGTTAGGTCATGGTGTTCTTACTTTTATTATCAGAAGGTGGAGATTTGGTGTTCAGTGTTATGAGGTGTTGAGTCAGATCACGGTGTTGGTATTTTAATAAAGAGAGGTTGGGTCAAGGTGTTTGTACTTGTATTATTAGAAGGTGGAGATTCGGTGTTCAGTGTTCTGAGTCAGATGATGGTGTTACTGTTTCAAAAAAGAGATGACATGAAGATGTATTTTCCTTTGTGATTTCATGGTTTGTTTTTAATTACTGTTGTTGTTAATTTTTAAATATTTTATTTCATTGATAAATATTTAGGGTGTAAGACTGATTATCGTGCTAAATTTTAAAGTTTTTGCAAATAAAATTAGTTTAATGATATGTTGTGGTATTATGGAGTGATTGCTTAAACTAGTACCTTGTTATCCTACCCCATTCTGTTCCTACATAATCCATCAGTATTTTGATAAAGAGATAACATAAAGATTTATTTTGTTTTGTGATTTTGCATGTTGTTTTCATTTAGTGTTGTTGTTGTTGTTGTTTTCTCCTCTTTTTCGTTATTCATTGATAACTATTCAGGGTGTAATACTGATGATAGTGATAAATTGAAAGGTTTTGCTAAAAATTAGTTTAATTATATTTAGTGACATTACCAAGTGATTGCTTGTAACTTGTACCTTGTAATCCTATCCCATTCTGTTCCTACAAAATCCTTTTCGAGGAGGCGCAATGGCTCAGTTGGTAGAGCAGTGGTCTCGTAATCCTGTGACCTGGGTTCGAAACCAAGATGATGCGCTAGTGCCCTTTGGTAAGGCATTCATCCTCATTACCAGGTCCCTCGGAGTGCACCTAAAGCCGTCGGTCCTCTGGTTGCTTACTTTCATGCATTTATGCTTTCTTAGCAGTCAGGTAAAATAACAACCACCACAATCCATTTTATTTCCCAGAATGATAGGCCTGGACCAAAGAGCTCAGTTCCTGGAATACACGGCAGAGCTGGGACCTCGTTCGTCTGTCAGCATGATGGATCAGTGTACAGTGCTGGAAGGGATGGGACGTATCGTCAGTACTATATCACAGACAGAGGAGAGATGAGACTGGAAAATACACATAAGGTATTCACTGAGCTTTGTGTCATAAGATACAGAAATTTAAAGCACATTACTCTTACGTCATCATAAAAAAACAGTGATGTTTTGCTACGTTATGTTAGAACAAGCCTTTCGGGTGGATCTAGCTTTTGTTCGCCTTTACAGTTCTCTTTTTTTTAGTATCTCGTATAAAATGCTCTCCATCAAAAAGAATGTATTGATATAGGCCTGTAAAGTGAAGTTACACAAATTTTTAATTCTTTACAGTAAGTATCATGTCATTTGTAACTCTGAATCTTATGATTTAGCAAGAATAAAAAGAATTTAAGAAATTCTCAGTCCTTCAAATGCAATTATTTTAAACAAATTATCTTAGACGGTATGATTTTTCCTCCTGACAGGTATACAAGGGATTTGAGTGGTTGGAAAAGCTTGTTTTCACAGAGGATGGCAATCTTCATGTAATGGGATTCCATTCAGTAAGTAGATGATGTACAGTGAAACCTGTCTATAAAGACCACCCAAATGGAGACCAGAAAAGTGGTCTTTATGTACAGGTTCCTTTAGTTCATGTTTCAATGAGAAACCATTTTCAAGGGAAACAAAACATGTGATCTTTGTAGACAGGTGGTCACTAAAGCAGGCTTGACTGTATGTAGTCCATAATCATCTTTAGTGGTATATCCCAACTTACCTTGAAAAACTGACTCTGAACCAACCATCTATTGCCAAAATGTTGGCCGTTTGGGGTAACGTGAGTTTGGTCTATTTTTGGTTTGGTGCCGGGTCTCTTTCATCTATTGCACTTGTTATTAAAAACTACTGACCATATCATTCTTGACTGTCCAAAAGTTTGTGTAAGTCTTTCATAAGTAATCAAATGTTATTGCACCTGTGTACTCTTTAAAGTGTACTCTACTAGAAGCACTAGTGCAAAATCCAGTATGCGAGGGCAGAAAGTTCATCAGTTTAGTATCGCTTTAACTGCTTTTTTGTAGACAAAAGGAGCAAACAGTGGCCTGCCACAGTCTGCTTTTGTCACATGTGTATTTTGTGTGTGTGTTCCATATACTCCAAATGGTGTAGCAGTCTGAATAATGTGTCAAAGAAGGTCCAATGTCAGTGAAGGTCATTCTGTGATGCATGTACATATTTTGATTTTGTTCCCTTTGTTCCCTTTTCCTACCATAAAGGTTAACTTTGTAGTATGGAGTACGCTGAACAACGAAGCCTTACTAACGGTACCTTGTGGCGGGGGTCATAGGTCATGGGACCTTTCCCCATTAGACGATGGTTCTATGACCTTTGCATGCATCAAGATGAAACAGCTCCTGGTACACAGCGTGTCGTCTGCTGCTTGGCAACGCCAGACCATCCTTAAGGTATACACAATGGTCTTAATTCACTATTAAAGGAGTTTCAATAAAAAACATCTTCTAACCGTAGTTTAGCCTTTATTGTGTACTACATGAAGCCTACATTATGTCGGCATTGGAAGCTGATTGGACTTCAGACCTTTGGCGTATTATGCTTATAATATGAAGGCTTAAACCTCCTTTTGTTTCATGTATCACTTGGTTCCAAATCTATTAAATTTCAGCCTAAATACCTCATGCATCATGCAACATACAGAGTAAACCATGCAGAACGGTTACATATAACAAATATGATCACACATATGTGAATATGTGTATGATTTTTAAGATGTATCATGTTGATATGAAACTTCATGTGGTTACCTGGAAATTCTTTATTATATTATCAGAACCTGGTCTTCATAGAGTACAATCACTGAACGTGTACCCATTATTTGACATGTTCTAACCCTCTCATTTTGTTTTGTTGTTCTCTCTCTCTCTCTCTACCCTTTCTCTGTCCCCTTTCTCTCTCTGCCTCCCTTTTCTCTCTCTCTCTCTCTCTCTCTCTCTCTCTCTCTCTCTTTATCGCCTCCCCGGCCCTCTATCATGCTTTTCATGTTCTCTCCTTCTTTTGCTGTCTCCTCTCTTCGTCTGTCTATTCTTCAGGATGACATCCATGGAAGGGAAATCACATGCATCAAGTTCTTAAGAACTGTCCAGATCGCAGGTAATCACAAGCTTGTATGAAACTACTTATGATCCAAAGCTACATTGCACACACCATAGTTCATGGTTATATGGAAGATTAATGTAAAGGATATACTAATCAAGTTCTTGCATTGAGTTTACTTTATACATACCAATGCACATGTTGATTGGCCCTCGTTCTGAACAATTGTAGTCCATTCGTGATGGGTTTCATGAAGATTATGATTCGTCGAGAAACGTAGAAATCAATATAAATTTATAAAGCAGTTACTGGAAATCCAGTCCAACTTGCTTCCCTGCAACGCTATATCAGTTCCTACTGGCTTCTTTGGGCGGTCTGATTCCCGTTTTGGGGGAAGCTGTCTTTTAGCTCACATCTGCTCATTGATGTGTGCTTCTTGTCATGGGAGAGACGACTTGTGACTTCTTGAAGGGCCTGGGGGTGTTTCACAAAGACTAAGATTTACTTTAAGTTGAACTTAACTATGGCAGGCCATTCATGCCACTGGTTGCTCTCTCAATTATGGTCTTTAGATCATATTTTTTCCTTCAATAATGAATTATAAAAAATGTAAATTCTGTAGATTTATGACCATGATTTGTACGTCCCTTGAGAGACCAATGCCAGTAAATGGTGAGAGTAAACAGTGGCATGAACGGCCTGCCATAGTTAAGTCCAACTTCAAGTCGATCTTAGTCTTTGTGAAACATTCCCCTGGTCCCATTCATAATAGGCTTTCTGAAAGAAGTCAAGTCATTTTCTTGCTTTTGATTTGTAAACATAACCTTCTCTTTTCTCTCTTTCCTTCGCTGTCTTCCTTCCAGGTCAAGATCATCATGTTTGTGTGACAGGAAGTGAAGACACAAAGGTCAATATTGTGTCCTTCTCATGTATCCTTTCATGTGACAAACTTCATTTCAGGATCAATAAATATCATTTAAGGGTAACAGAATAATCACATAATCGCATGCGGAATTTGATGTTGACACTGCAGAAAATATTACATGCACACATTAGTGTTCTGATGTTGGCTTGAACCAGGGCTTCTCAAAGTCCGGACCATAGCCCGCATCTGGACCACAGGGCATGTCCATCCAGACTGCTTGGGAGGCTCTGATGTTTTTTAAAACTCTAACAATTCCCATTAGATAAAATATAAATAAGACAAGCCTCATTTTCTTCAGAATACAACTGTTATTACTATAAAATTTAGGAGTAGGTTGTATTATTCTGAAGCAAAGGTTGAGTAATGTCATGTCATAAAATGTCTGGCTTTCCAGTAATTAACAGTACATTATTCTACTTCATTTGATACATACGATTGACCCTAAGAATTTTCGCTTGAATGGCAACCCATGTTTCAGAAAGTCACATCTGGACCATCAAGGAAAAAGTTCACAACTAACAATGAATAAGAAATAAATTTGGTCTTTCAAAATACGGTGTCCACGTTCCTTAACCATTGACCTCCAGCACCACGTTCAAGTGTAGATCCTAGCTCGAGTTCAGCATTATTAGGAGATATCAATGTTCTTCATCGACTCCATGCCCATGTTTCAAGTGTGAGGGCGCTAGCAGTATGTCACTCGAGCAGCTCGACGGACGAGATGTTATTGTTCTCTGTTGGTGGTCGATACTCCATGAATTGCTGGAAAGTCAAGTTCTGTCTTGAGGTAAGTCGGATCTCTTGGTGGATTGAGGACGGAGGGGGAGGGGGAAGGAGAGGGGAGGGGGAGGGGGGCTATATACAATTTGTTTTGCAGGAAATGTCACATTTGAAACAATTTGTGTGTTTTCAAAAAGCGTTGCTGATTGGATGGTCGAAGAGATGTATCAATTTCCAATCCAAATTGGTGGATGTTACAGTCAGTTAAAATTAATCTTGGTTAAAATGAGAAGCACATAAAAACAATTCCACTATATATCGAGGGGTCAGTGACACAAAGACGTAACTCCATTTTGGCCATTTTGAGAAAAATGGGTTGATGTGTCACTGAGCACTTGGGCCTTAAGGAGTTAAGTCTTTGTTTCACTAGCCATTGACTTCAATGGGGTGTTGGGTGGAGTTAAGTCTTTAAAGCCCACATTTTTTTGAACATTTTGATATCAAATACTCATTTTGGCAAAATATGGAGCTACGTCTTTGATTCACTGAACCCTCGATATGTTCATGTAACAAAAAATAGTAAAACGTCATATGTATGAATGGCCTCTATGGAAATGCAAGTCTAAACCCTGAAACATCAGTCACCGCAGTTACAAGACACTGGTCAACCTCACACATTCCATTGTCCTTTTGTCTTATTCTCCTTTTATTCCATTTTCAGGGATGCCAGTTTTCAGGCAATAGCCTTAATTCAGGCCCTAACGAGTTATTTTCATACCATAGTTAAGGCTTTTTTGTGTACAAACTACAGTAGCTCTTTCTAGGTGATGTTCAGGCCCTCTGATCAATTCTAACTGGCATCCCTGCATTTTGCTCTCATACGCAGGCATCCAACATACCCTCCCTCAAGCAGATCTCCTCAGTCCGCCATCTTGTCTCGCACTCCTCTCTCATCACGACGAGATCGAGACAGAAGCTGAGACAGCGGGAGAAGCTGATTGACGACCCAGAGACCAGGTTTCTGGGCGTGTCAGTCTGGAGGAGGGGTGGTGATGTGGAGGGCGTGTCTCCTGGCACTGGTGGAGGTCATGTCATGATGTGTGTCGCAAGCTCTGATGCTTTCTTGAGGTAACGAGAAAGACTTGATTCTGTTTAGCTATTGAGATGGGATGCCTGGTCCTTGACTTCACTTTCATTATTAAGTTACTCCATTTTCTCTCATCGGAAGTGACACTTTCCTTGTATGACAACAATTCTAGTGATACAAACTGTACATTTCAAGCTCTGATTCTTCTTTTAAATACACGTAGGCAATGTAATGTGTTTTAATTCTCATCTTCATGTGACAAATTCAAGTGAATGTCATTGAAATTTTGGTATGCCTTGTCTTACGATGTACATGTATGTATGCACTGAACTGGTAACAATATTTCGATGGTTATCTATTTTAAAGTGTACGTTCTAGAACTGGAGGAACTGGTAGTTGAAATGTATTTTCACTGTGTCATATAATGAAAGGTTTCTTTTAGCCAGTTCATCAGCATAATGTATTGTAATTCTTGCCTTTTTTTATAGGTTTTTCTGCTTTGATGAGGACACATGCAAGATAACTCCTCTAGGCAGTAGTAACATGCATGACTGCTGTCTCCTGTGTGTGACCTCTATAAGGTTGACCTGTGATCCCGAGGTCAAGGCAAGGGTCAAACCTAGGACGATGGTATTGACAGGTGGAACCGATGGACGTATTCTTGTGTGGGATGTGCAGGAAGTAGAGTCTCAAGCAGATAAGCTCACCATCGATGCCTCCATATGTGATGATGAAGAAGAGAAGGAAGATGAGGAGGAGGATGAGGAGGAGGAGGAGCGGATAGTTGGTGCCGCCGCAAGAAGTCAGAACAACATTGAGAAAGAGTTTAACAAGACTGCAAAGACGAGAAGAGGGATGGAGATAGATGAACCAAAGAAAGCAGCAATGAGAGAAAGGAGGAAGGTGGAGAATGAAGCAGTTATACAATTACACCATGGCAACCATAAACCAAGTAACGCTGCAGGCAACGAGACAGTGTCTTCTAGTATCGGCTCATCTGGAGCCTGTCAAAGTGCAATAGAGAATGATGCAGCTCAATTAGATAAACATCATATTTCCGTCACGCAGGGAAGAGAAGGGGGAGCAGGAGGAGGAGGGATTGATGGGAAGCCCTCCCATCAGGGTACATCGTCAAGTGGCTCTAGTAGTGCAGAAAGGACTAGTGGGTGTCATAGAACTCAGGGTCATTCCTCTTCTACAGCTACCAGTCTTTCTTATGATGGAGAGGAGAATATCCAAAGTGTTTCCATGGTAACGCAAGCTGAGTCACCAACAGCAGAAGCTGCAGCATCTACCATCCAATCCAGTACTAGTGATGTTCAGTCGATGCACACCAGACATACCGGACACTCAAAGGAAAGGTCTGTGCAATCTAAGGAGACAACGGCCGGGCTTGTGACCTCTGACCCTGTAGGAGGTCATGACACAGGGTCAGTAGGTCAAATGGTGTCATCATGGTCTGCTCATCAATCAGGGATCAATGCATTAGCATTACACCTCGTTAAGGGTGAGTATGTTTCTTTCACGAGTTTGAATGAAGGACATCAATAAATATTCTGTTTATATACATGTATATATATTTCATTGTATGTAGTCTTGTCATAACATAGTTTCATCAATATGTAAGTGAATAGAATAATGAAAAGTTTAACCAAACAAACCAAGAATAAATTAAATCTTTAAAAAAAGAAGATTAAAGACATGTTAAGGGTGTTTAGGGGCGCATTGTGTACTTCTATCCCATTCGTTGTCTCACACCTGCATTATTTGCTTTATATATAAGTATTCTCATTTGTCCAGAAATAAATGCTTTGTAGATAAAGGAATATAAATGTCCCTTTCTACTAGATGACAAGTTTGTGGTTGTCAGTGGTGGTGATGATACTGCCATAACAGTCACCCTTGTGAACCTCAGCTCATCAATCTGTACTGGGGATGAGGCAATGACAGGTGCAGTCCTGGATACATGCAAGATACCCAAAGCTCATGCTACTCAGATCACAGGTAGGTTTGAAGAATGAGAGTATAAGTGGAAGCAGGGAAATGAGAGAAATAAATCAGTGAAAGTTTGAGGAAAATCCAATGAAAAACAAGAAAGGTCGTGTATTTTTATAGCTGTAATTAATCTAATGTAAAATTTGCAACTTTGTGGCTTACACTTGAATCTTCTTTCCTATTTTTATTTCTATGGCTATTTTTTTTAATTTTAATTTTATTGGTTGTTGATTAATTATTTGATGTGTTTCATAAAGAGTCTAAATAAGAACACATGTGCAAGAAATTTTAAGGTGCATTTAGTAGCAAATATTTTATATTTTATATTTATAGACAGTATTTGCATTGGGAATGGTGCTCCTTATCATGAATGTTTGAACATTTACCTTCTTTCACATGCATGTATGTTTAATTTTCTTTTGAGTACAAACATCCCGTGATTGGTTTTGTTTTGCCACTAGGAATCCGCTTCATCCAACTGGAACATACATTCCTCTCCGTATCTGTGGATCAAAGGTTGAATCGATGGAGGCTCAAGCTGTCTGTAGATTATCTCAAGATAGAAGAGGTAATTAAGCTTCATTCACACATCGTCTGACTGGAGTCAGTAGACCTTTGTTCTGCAAATCAAACTCTCTTGACTGATAAAAATGCAAAAACAAAATACTTTGGCGATAGGTCCTTTTAATGCTCTGCTCCACATTTGTGGAATTCTCTTCCAGTGTACATTTGTTGCATCTCTGATATTACTTTGTTTAGATCAAAATTAAAAAACAATCTAATGGAAAAGGCAAATTCAACCTAGTTCTTAAAATGTTACCTTACCTTGTTATTTTAGGTTGATAATTTCACTTTTGTTCTCTTGTCATTTTTCTATTAGTTTTACTTGCATCAATACTGTAAAGCACTTTAATATAAATCTCTTATGAAAAGCGCTATATAATAGAAGTTATTATTATTATTATAAAATAATACAAGAGTTGGCGCCCTCTCTAGCTCTGAACAGACGATATGCTGTAGAAAACACTGTCAGGACATACAAAAGTTAATGCTCTTCCCTGTTCTATATCTTATTACATTTGTATATTAAAGTTATGATGGTGAAAGGCTACCAATATGTCAGTCTTAGACAAAGTGATCTTCTTTTATCCTTCTTTTAGCAAGTTAAAGTGACTGATGAACACATAACAAACAGTGAATTTTCATATCTTTTTCCATCTTGTTGTTAAACCATAGAGTGTGTAAATACATGCAAGGCATACATGTACATGGATATTAACTATAGTTCACTCTTGAGTTGCAGTGATTCCCAATGCAAAAATATAATTGTGCTGCAACTAATTGCATTTTTTGTGTCATGTTTAAAGGTGAAGATGGTGTCTTCAAGCTTTGTTCATGTCTCTGATATTGCTGGGCTGGACACGTGGAATGAAGGGTAGGCACAAAATAGTGGATTCGCAATATACAGCGCCATCTAGCGACACCAGACTGTTTAGTAGATTTCATGTGATGCATTATTGAAAAAAGAAGACAAAATACCAACTGTGGCCCTTTTATTAACCAGAGAGAATAAAGGAATTTAAAGTACAAGTCCACTACAAAAATAACTTATTTTCAATAGAAGCAGAAAAATCAGACAAACCAATCAAAATAAGTTTGAGCAAAATCGGATAACTAATAAGAAAGTTATTAATTTCTGAAAAAGTATGTAAAACTATGGAACAATGAAAATCACTACACAAATTTCCAATTTAGTTATCCTCACTATTTCTCAATTGCTTTATATAGTTTAATCTCATTTATTTCCCTTTTTATCCCCCAAAACTTTATTTCCCCATGCCTTTGCCCATGTTATATGATTTGTATTATATTGCGTGCAAGACATTTCACAAAATCTTTTATGAACTTTGAAGAATTTATACCATTTTCTGAATATTGTATATTCATAATTATTGATTTTCATATAAATAGTTAATCAAAATTCACATTTTTCATGATTTAACTGTAAAAAAAATACTCTATATTAGTGCATCCACACACAAACATATTACTATCTAACTTGGATGCTGATGTGGAGAAATAAGATTCTGAGGGGGGAAATTGAAAATGTATATTATCGATATAAAGAAAACAATTAGTGGATAGTGAGGACATGATGTCACAGACTCACGAGCGAGTCTCGATTTTGTTTTGTGATTTTCATTATTTCAAAGTTTAACTTACTTTTTCAAAAAATCATAAACTTTGTTATTATCCGATTTTGCTCAAACTTTTTTTGATTGGTTTGTCTGATTTTTCTGCTTCTATTGAGAGAAATTTATTTTTGGAGTGGACTTGTCCTTTAATCAGAAATTTTGGTGGGGAAGAGTGAATACCTGATCCGGGGTAAAATTTTGCGCCGATTTAAAAGATATCAATGTTACTGACCCTTCTCACAACGTTTAGGTCATTTGGGCCTATAATGATTACAACTTTCAAAAATGTAAAATAACTTTCTCATTCTTTGCTATCAAGGTTGGATTTCCCTTTAAATCCTAGACCAAATACTGTCTTTTACATACTAAGGGATTATCCTAAATCTAACCTACATGTACACCAAACAAACTTGGCAATCCATGGAAGCACTTCAGTTTTCAAGTTTATTTGTTACAGAATTCACATAAATGACAAAATTAGAACATAATATGAAATATACTCATACATGCAAGTATGACATTATATAACCAAGTCTTATAAAGATGTAGAAATTAATTGTATTAAATCGTAGGTTATACAGGGTAAAATGTGTGGAACCTGTTGAAAAGCTTAGCTTGTAGATTATAGGTTCCCCTAAATAAAAACTTATTTGATTGAAGTGGTTGTAATGGTGAAGGACGTAACAATAACAATAGGTGGGCAAGAAGGCCTCAACATAAAATGATATATAAAGTGAAACAAGCAAAATAGCAAACAAATTAATTTGTTACCACAGGAATGTCACGTTTGTCACTTTAGAATATTGTGGCATCACTTATGTCAAACAAATCTTGCAGTTGAACATCTACTTGATTTGATCACTTTTTTTGCCTCAGCCAAGTGAAATTTGGTGCAGGATGCATTAAGAAAGTCATTTGATTTATTTGGCATCACAAAAAAAGTCAAATACAAATCATTAAATACAGAATAATAGGCCAGAATCTAAAAAATGCAACCTGTGCTTGTAAATGAGGCTCCTATTACATGTAGGTAAATACAAATTAAATAAAATAACAACAAATTAAAACTTGCAAAGTATGCATATTTTTTGTGTAAAGACCAACCATTCACTACAGCAAGTATCAACTACATATATGCACGCACCCACAAACACACTTAAAGCCCCGCTGCACTACTTACAGTATAGCTACATGTGCCTTCTATATACATTGTAGCAAACATTCCCTAATTGGTGATCGTCGGTCCCCCATGGTCCCCTTTTTCGTATGTTAATTGAGAGCTGATTTAATGAGATAACCACCTGTCAGTGACCATGCAGGCAGGTCTAATCCCTCCTGGCCAAGCTAGTGCAGATAGGCTTTAAATGAAGACAGATTAATGTTGATGCAGTGTACATGTATCTTGGAACGAGACAGTGGAAACAGAATGTGTCTGTATTTGATTTGCTGCTCTTTCTTTGGTTTGTTTTCACAGATCAACAAGTCAGCAGTATGCAGTGGTCTGTGGCCAGGGTCTTCAACTTATGGACATTTCAAGTAATGAAGAAGAAAGTGAAGTCAGATGAAATAGGACACTGGAAACCAGACACTCCTCTGCTTTCTCCTTAGTTCAGATTCCTGTGAAAGCGTATCTGGACAACTACCCCCCGGACAACTACCCCCCAGACAACTAACCCCTAGCATAGTAGTCCGAGGGGTAGTTGTCCTAGAGGATGGGTGTCGTAGGGGTTATTGTATAACAAAAAGAGGGTATATAACTGATGTTAAAATAATATTTACATAAGCAAGCGACATATGCTATAAGTCTTTTGGAGATTAAGAAAAATAAAAGGTCTATTTTAGAATGTATTTTTCATTAAATTTTTATTAAACTTTCCTGCCGGATTGATTACTGATAATTACATTCATTGTCCAACAATTTTGAAAATTTGCTTTACGCAAGCATGACATTTAACACAGTAAGTTCATATAAAATACTAAAATGATAATCATGGGAACACAAACAATGAATACTTTTTGCACATCAATTTTTAATCATAAGTTGTGTTTTATGACTTAAATTCTAAGAAATCCATGTTTATATGGAATGGTACACAATGTATTAACAAGTAATTCCTTTTTTCCCATTTGATGTTACAAAGGGGAATGGCTATGTAGGTAATAATTATAACTTGTCCTTGCCATACGATATTTGACCCCTGCTATAAGTATGCCAAAGCAATGACCTCATTAATGATGTGAATTCCTTGACCAGGCCAAATGAACCATTGTATACCGTACTATTCTGTAATAATGTTTTATAATGTCTAAATCAAATACACATATATTTAGCAGATGCAAGACTCTTCAATTTCTTTACTTCATGTGCAGAGGCTGTTCTTTTAGAGTACAAGATCTATACAGCTACCGGTATACATTCTGAGATAAACAGATAAGAAAAATGAGGGAGGAGGCTGGGAAAGAGAGAGGGAGGATGGGAAGATAGGAGGGATGAGAGAGACAGAGAGATAGAGAATACGACGGAGCAACACTACATTCTTGACGATACAAAGTGGTTTGGTGAATCTAGCCAGTCTACCCTGTACGTTTCAGTGACGTTCAGTTTGCTTCGGAACCAGTTGATTGTCTTCCGCCAAGCCTTGTTGAGCGCGTAGGCATGGAGACGAGGTTCTCCCCCTACAATGGTTTGTAGACATAGTGGAAGATATGGAGCATCAATGTAATGACCAGCGCCCTCTAGATGAATTGTTTCTAAGAGATGACCCTTACCGACTCTCTCTATCCGCTCCTTCATCTGTCGTGATAGAGAAAAACCATGTGAAGAAATGAAAAAGTTAACTACATAGTGTTAAAGGGAGTGTAGCCCCGTGTAGCTTGGCAAATACTGGTTAACACCCTCTTTCAGAAAACTGCAGTAAACGAATGAACTTGATTAACGGTCCAGGGTAGTGCAATACTTAGAACACGATGCGTCATTTGCCTGTCATAGGACTCGGAGGCGGCGGAGCGACTTCTAAAGTGGGAGCACCAACAAAAAGGGACACTTTCTGTAAAAAAAAGGCACCTTTAAAGGCAAAGACCAGTATTGGAAACGCCCCAATTTAAAAAAAAATGAAATGGAACCTCTTATTACCAATCATGCGAAAGAATATGTTTTGACTAATACATGATGATAAAAATTTTGCTGGGAAACCGCCTACTAATTGATATATTTGGTAAATTAGTTTATCCATTGTTATGTGATAGATAAAACATATACATCTTTCTGTATACGGTCCTTGTAACTTTACCAAGACTGGGCCAAATTTCTTATCATTTTGATGATTCCAGAACCTTGCAGTACAAACCAATACTTATATGCTAGATGATTGATTCCACAACGTTTCTTTCACAATGCAATCGCATGACCAGAACTGATCTATCTTTAAAGGGAAATTTCAAAGCGAAAATAAACAAGTTTTTAGACATTGGTATATATCCCTATATTGTGATTACATTATCAAGGATGATTTCAATATTTGTTTCTCTCTTTACATCGTATAAGATATTGCTTAAGCATCAGTTGGGTGTGATGGTCTAAAAATTCGCGAGCAAAGCGAGCGAGGAAAATTTTTAAGATTTGTGAGGTCGCAGTGCGAAAAATTAAATTTTATAAAAATGGAAAACTCAATCCTGATGGGGTTATAAGCACATTCTCATAATGGAAGACTGAAAAGACCTTTGATAAGTTACATTATTATAACATCTATAACTACGAGCGAGCGTGGGGGATTAGTTGCTTGAAATTAGGGGCACGTTTAATGATAAGAGGAAAAGGGTTGAGACACTTATTAGAAAAGAAAAGGAGCATGTGTCGAAGTACAAATGCTTATTATCAGAGGTGAAATTGGGGCACTTCTTACACCTAAAAAAAGAGGCACGCACCAGGGATGAAAAGGGAATTTATGAGAATGGAAAATGGGCATTTGTCGACAGATCAGAGGCACCCATCAGATTTATTACGGGCATTTTTAAGAAGTGAAAAGGAGCATTTTTGAAAAAGAGAAAGGTTCCTTATCAGAAAGGAAAATCGGGCACATATCATTGTTAAAATAGTAATTATCAGAGGTGAAAAGGGGCACTGACCAGACCATACATGAAAAGAGGCACTTATGTCATGAGAATGATAAAGGGGAATGTGCATTTGTTGAAAGAAAATGGGTACCGATCAAATTTTAATAGGGGCATTTATCGGGAGGTGAAAGGGGGCTTTTATGATTAGGGGGAAGTGGCTCTTATTAAAAAAGAAAAAGAGGCACATGTTAAAATGAACGGGGCACTTATCAAAGATGAAAAAGGGTAATTATGAGAAGGGGAAGGGGCACTTATAAGAAGGAAAAAGAACATTTATTAGGAAGGAAAAGAGGGACGTGTCATAATAAAAAGGGCATTAATAAGAGATTAAAAGAGCACTTATCAGGAGGGGAAGGGGGGCACTTGTCAAAATAAAACGAGTATCTCTCAAAATTGAATAGGGTCATTCACAAGTTAAAATGGGCACTTATGGGAATAAGAGAGAGCTATTTTCAAAGATGAAAAGGGGCATTTATAAGAAGGGAAAGTGGCTCCTTTTTAAATGGGGGCATTTACCTAAAGGAAAAGGGGCACATGTGAAAATATAAGGTGCGCTTATCTGAGTTAAAAGGGGTGGTTTTACAAAGGAAAAGGGGAACTTGTCAAAGCAAAAGGGGAACCTCTCAGATTTGAATAATGCAATTATCAGAAGTGAAGGGGCGTTTATCAAAAGTCAAAAGGGGCACTTCTCGTACCTGAAAAGGGGAACTTACTAGAGATTAAAAAAGGCACTAATGAGAATGGAAAAGGGACACTTATTGCAAAGGAAAATGGGAACTTGTCAAAGGAAAAGAGGCAATTAAAAAAATTAATAGGGGCACTTGTCAAAGTAAAAGGGGTACTTTTCCTATGTAAAAAGGGGCTATTCTTCTATGTAAAAAGGGGCACTTTAGGAGTACTTGAAAAGTGGGGCACTGTGCTGCCCCCTCCCCCCCCCCCCCGGGAGCGCCGCCTTTGCCTTGTGTGCAACAGGCCCAAGATGAAAAAGAAACGGTATTGGAAATGCCGAGGAAATAAAAGTTTATTCTTGATTACTTACATCTGTCATTCGTTTGTATGATGGTATTAACTGGTCATCTCCAATTGTGATGAAAAGTAGTGGACATGAAATTTCTTCTACCTTTAATGAGAAGATGAAGAAGAAAACAACAGATGGAAGATGTTCTTTTGTAGTCTTGCAAATAATTGCAATGCCTTCTGATTTGTTTGATTACAGATTAAATGGAAGAGGATGTCGAAAGATACGTCAGAGAGTTACCAATTTGTGATTGATTGATGATAACTTCAACAAATTCTTAGTTTATTCGGATTCTGCTCAAACTATCACTAATTTTGTGTTTCTCATATTCTCCTTTTATTGAAAGCACCTTACTATCAGTGATGGCTGTGACTCACAAGATAAAATGGTGCCATATTTCATTTAGAAGAAAAAATCTTTTGTTTATGTCAAGCAATGAGGGTAATATGTATTACGCTTCTAGATCTTACCGGTATTTTGAAATCGCCTTGCAGATTGTCGAATGCGTTGAAATTGTCCAAGTGTAATGTATTACTACCATCTGTTTCCTCGATCCTTTCATAATGATTCCAACATAGGCTATGTGCAAGGAAAGATGAGGTGGAGAAAGTTTTTAAAGTAGATATTCATTGATTTAAAAAAAATAACTTTATTTTCATTATTGCAAAGTTGAAACTTTGATTCGACAAGGTTATCAAAATTCAATGCCTGGAAACATTCGAAGTAATGATTATTATAAATTACAAAACGCTTAAATATAGCCCCGGCATAGCACGAAGAGCTCTCCAAACGCCGCTGAGATTTTTGAGATCACAGTATGGACATGATTTGCACAAGCAGACGATTTCACATGACATCTCACACATTTTCAGTGCCTGTGTTTTCATCTTCTCTTGAGTTCTTTCTCTTACTTCACTACAGTCTGGCTAAATGTATAATAGGGACTTTTAGATTTGCACGTCGACAGCTTTGACTGCAACGTGTTACGTCATTTTAAGGCCCTGCGCATGCGTTACGTCGTCTCAGTCGGCGATCGAGAATGCATCAACCTTGATTTTCCTAAATCTAGTACATACATACATATTGATATTTATATAGCGCCTTTCACTATGAACATGACTGACAATGAGAGCGGACAAAATATACAGTTCCTCAGGTAGACAAAGGAACATCCCTTCACAGCTATTATGTAAAAAGGTGAATATGCATGTGACACCTGTTCTACACATTTTTACATAATAGCAGTGAAGGGATGTTCCTTTGTCTACATGAGGAACTGTATATTTTGTCCGCTCTCATTGTCAGTCATGTTCATAGTGTTTACATGCTCAATGTACTAGTATGCCGCGTGCGCATACAATATACAGTTCCTCAGGTAGACAAAGGAACATCCCTTCCCTGCTATTATGTAAGAATGTGTAGAACAGGTGTCACATGCATATTCACCTGTTCTACACATTTTTACATAATAGCAGTGAAGGGATGTTCTTTTGTTGAGGGTTGAATGAGGAACTGTATATTTTGTCCTCTTTCTTTGTCCGTGATGTTCATAGTGTTACTTCCTGCATGCATGTATATCTTCGAGTGCAATCTAAAAGATTTCTAATTGAAGTCAACATTGGCAGTTATAAGTGCGTTGACACGCATGATCAGTCGGCGTTCGTCGTGTTCTCGTCCACTCAATCTAAAAGTCCCTATTATATTGCCTCACTCTTTAACCCCGCGCATGATTTTATTTTGATGACAAATGTAGCGATACAAAAATAAAGGAATCTGTCGCTTGTAAACAAAAGTAGACGCCATTGTATATTTAGCTGCACACACCGCGGTATGTTCGGCGTTTCAAGAGGGAACAAATAATGCCTTCCTTAATATCATTCCGGGGGGTTTTCAAGTTGAAAGTCTGGTTTCTTTGATTATCCCCTTTTGAATGGTTTTACATGCCATTACATTTGTATACACTAAACTCATTATAATTTGACAAATAATAGCTCTTGCAATGATGTTCATTCTTTATGGGATGTCGTCTGCTTGGGCAGTATTGGTCCATATAGTGACGTCATTAAAACATCGTAATTTTTCTGGCGAATCTCTCGTATATCCCAGCTGGTATGGAGTTGGTTGTATTTGTATTTTTATAAATCACCCGATATGTAGTTGACCTAAAACTTGTACGATTGCCATCTGTTAGCTTACCAGTTTCTAGTGATACATTAGTTGACATATTTGTGATTTTCTTTGAATTTAACCCTTTAGGCAATTGTGATAAATCGTGAATGACAGGATAAAGGATCCACAGTTGTTCTGAAAAAGCATTATCTTAAACTGAATTACACCAAGTTTACTTACGAGAAATCAAATCGAGGGAAAACTATACCTTATTCCAGAAAGCAATGGGTTGATAGATCATAATGGGATTACGTAACACATTACAGATCTGCATGTGTGCACATTTAAAAAAGGTGACACACAAGCTAGGCAATATACATGGTAATTGCCTTAAGATGATTTTTCGAAAGTCCTTGCGATCATGTTAGTTAGGCCTAACAAAAAAAGATGTTGTATTGCCCTTTGCGACCGACCCAAAAATCTTTTTTTTTTTAAAGAGGGAGTAAAAAAAATTTAAAAAAAATCCCGACCGACCGACCCATGTTTTGGCACCTAAATGCCAATACAGCATCTTTCTTTTTTAGTCCTTATTGTATGGTTGAGGTTCTCATCCTCGGTTTGCCTGATGGCTCACCTGTAAGGGTCTACCGTTGTTCCGTCTGGTAACCTGATACCAACGCTGTATATACGAGAGAATGTCCAAACATCCAGTAGCCGCTACACATCGAATGGGTATCATCTTCAGTCTGGCTGCAGCTTGCAGCGCCAGGACACTCCCGAGGCACGAAGAGACAATCCCAACTCGACTGCTATCAAGACGAGGATGGTTTGCTATGAAATCGAAGAGGTCCTGCATAGATTGGGAAATTCTTGAACATTTAGTTCTATTAAAACAGATTTAACATTCCTGACGACGGATAGTCAACCTGTTCGAAACGTCGAGCCACTCCCGCCACTCATCCTCTCCAAGCGGTATAGTTCTCCTTAGAACTATAAGCTAAGAAAGATAACCAACAGTCTTTTTCAACACTACACCAACAGTCCTTTTCAGGACTAAACACCCTCAAGAAAGATTACCGATAGTCCTTTTTTCAGGACTCCTCAATCCTCCCTCTCTGCTACATGGTGCACCCGCAAGCCTACTGTAAATTTAACATGATCGCAAAGACTATCGGAAAATCAACCTAAGGAAATTTCAATTATCTCTTTTATCACTTTTTGAAATGTGCAATCATTGCAATGACTCATTGCAATAACGCATTGCGTAATCCTAACATGATTTTTATGCGATATAATGATGTTACAATTGTCATTTGCTTGATTTGTCGAAAGTCTCTGCGATCATATTACTAGAACACGACTTCTAATATTCTGAAATAGGTAAAAAACTTCATGGATTTGCATACACGGGAGGACTTCCCCCCCCCCCCCCCAAAAAAAAAGGAGATGGTGCATCGTAGCGTGACGGGGACGGGCGTAATAGGCTCCAAGTAATGCTTTTGGGAATGTTTTCGTTAGATATGAAACTTTGTTGGTAGAAATGAACTGACAGAATACAATATGTACATGCTGACAAAATGTGTGATAAACAGAGTTATTGAAAATAATGAAAGGGGAAGACGAAGGAGAAAAGGAATATGAAAAGTCTCAGGATTTGATACATAGACGGCAAGGGCGATGAAAAAAAATAATTATAAAAAATAGAGGGGGAAACAGACGTTAGAGAAAGAATAATATAGGCACTTCGATATGGAGAAGAAAAAAAGTGACGGGAAAGGATGACGACTGTCCGTAACTTGCTCCTGCGTCAATGTTTCCAACACTAACCAAATGTTTAACTGTAACCCTTGACCTAACCTGATCGCAAAGACTTTCGGACAATCAACCTCAGGAAATTTCAATAATATACAAATATTACACAACAGTGAGGGCATTAGTCAGAATTACCCACACAAGGAACCTTTGGAACAGTCTAACACGCCCAAGGCGATAGCCGAGGGTGTTTGGACTGTTTTGGAGGTACCGAGTGCGGGTAATTTTACTAGTGCCCGAACAAAATGATGTGTATTATTTGTTTTTATAAGATTATGTTCTATTTGTTTTATAACATGATTCTACTAATGACCGGTCATTAGCAAAATTAGGATCCACGTCATCTTATAATAGAGGTGTCGTAGAGGTGTCGTAGAGGTGTCGTGGTCGAGTGGATACGTCGACGGACTGTCGATCTTATGGTTCGCGGTTCGAGTCCCGCCGCGGCACTAATGTCCTTTGGCAAGACATTGATCTACATTTGCCACACTCAACCCATGTGATGTAAATGGGTACCTGGCAGGAATTATTTCCTTGAAATGCTAGTGCGCCGCAGTGGCTGCCTTGCTAAAGCCAGGGTAATAATCGGGGCAGCGCCAGGAGCGTCACAACGTGACGGACATGTGCGCTATATAAGAAGCCACCATTATTATTAGGTGATACGTAACGAAGTCTACGTATCACCTATTGATTTCGTCAAGATTTTTATTCCTATTCCTATTCCTATTATTCTTATTATTCTTCCTCGATTTTGTTCGCAGGATATCTCAAGATTGAATAAAGCCATTGTCATGAAACTTTCAATGATGATAGATCTTAGTCTAACTTAGAACTGCGTGACTTTTCAAAGACTCAAAATCATCGTGACGTCATCCAGGCGCCAATTTGTGAAAATCAACTTATGATCATATCTTCATAAAAGAAAGCCATTTCTCATTCATATTTGTCATGATCAAGGTCAATATGTGTCGGGTCAATTTCAGGTCAATAAATGCGCGCAAAAATGCGCGTACACGAAGGTGCGCGCGTTAATGCGCGCGTAAAATTTAAAATTGCTCAAAATCGTCTTTAATTTTTTTTGCATACGTTTCAGGCCATTATAAGCATTTCATAAAAAATCACGCAAAACACGCATTTTTGCACGTTTTTGTTCGTCATGGCCGAACGAAAAATAATTCCTTCGCAAAAGCTGTCGATCGAATCTTTTTCATTATTTTTCCGGAAAATTTGATACCATGTTTAGCTCTTTATCACTATTAATAACGGAATGAGCGTCCGTTCAAGATAACCGTCCGTACGCGCGATTTTTGCAATACATAGCATATATGGGCAAAAACATGCCTATAAAAAGTCCATTGGGATGAATAAGGACTGCCAATTTTTATTTCATATTTAGATAGAATATGAGTCGGAGATATGATTCTATATCTCATTTGGCCATTAAGTCCATCTTGACGTCATCATAATGGCCTTGGAAGTCATAAATACAAAATTGCATATTATGACGTCATTGTATTTATGGAAAATGTAGTGTATTTCTCTCAATATTCATCGATTCTCTTTGAAATGTCGATATGTTGTAGATAAGGCAATTCTCTACAAGATCACTTTTCACTAAGTTTCATTTTAATGAGGTCATCATAGTACAAAATTCAATTAAAGGCCACATGTCAGAATTTTCGTCATTTGCGTGTTATGTCTATGGAAGGTGAATTTCGTTCACATCATGAATCTACATGGCATTCATCTATGAGCACTATCTATCTTATGTGTGCTTTGTTTTCTCCCAAATGTGGGTATGTTATAGCTGAGACAATGGGCTATGAAAATGGTGCTTTTAGTTTTTTGATCAGATGATGCGATCATGTCACAATTTTCTGTTGAATGTTTAAATGATGAATATGTCACGTATGTCCTATTTGTGAAATTTAAACGTTAGCAGTGTCCTCGTATTCAATTCATGTAAGGAAACCCTTTTACTTTCTAGACTTAAAATGCATACAATGAGCGTTATAGGGAACATGAACATTTTTCTGCATTAATAACCCACTCTGTAATCATTCTTCATTTCCTTTTCATGACTTCAATAATGACGAACGTCATTCAATATTTGGTAGTAATACTACAGATACTCATATCAATGATTTAAACTATTTATCCGAAAAAGAAGATGTTTCATTTCAGTAGGTTCTGAACTGTAAATATTATATTGACGAGGATTTTACGACTGAATTCAGTAACATTGACTCTCATTTTAGTATTTTACATTTTAATTCCCGCAGTTTTAACATAAATTGTAATGCTAATTCCAATTTCATCTGTACTTTATGTACATATTTGTCTGAATCTTGGATTAATGACATTACGCAACTTTTATTCAATGTGTCTGGTTATTCATTTATACATTCTAATAGGGTGGAGGTGTTGGTCTATTGGTCGCTGACAATTTTGAAAATGAAATACGAAATTATATATTTATATTATACCCATCATACAATTAAGAATCACTGTTTATTGAAAGCAACTTGCCGAGACATAAGAATATTAATGTAGGTCTCATATATAGGAAACCTCAATCAAATATCAATGATTTAATCACTGTCTTTGAAAATGTTTTACAAAAAACTTATACCGAACATAAACAGGTTTATATTATGGGAAATTTTTAACATTGATCTCGTAAAATTTACTGGCAATGCTGTATGTAAGTTCTTGAGCGCAATACATTCAACAAACATTATTCCTTTAATTGATATAAGCCTTCGAGAAAGACTGACAGATCAATATCCCTCACTGATAATATTTTTAAAAATAATTTTGATCTGTATGATTCTTCTGGTTTGTTTTATAATGATATATTTGTTAACAAAAACAGTTTCCTATTTATAACACTCGTATTATCAATGATGTATCTCTTAATGTTTTCATTACTCATATTTTATATTAAATCAGAACTAAATAAATCACTATGTACATTTTTTAATATTGATAAAAAGAAGTGTTTTGAGCTTGTTTAGTATAGGTAAACAGTTTTATCCTCTATCGGAAACCTGAAGGGGGCGCTGTGCCACTTTCAATCATGGTCATCATTCTAATATCGTCACATGAGCATACGTATCACCTAATTCGTCTAAGTGACGAATTAAAGTCTAGTTATTATTATTATTATAATCTCCGTTATCACCTTTTGAAATGTACGATCATTGCAATGACGCATTGCGTAATCCAAACATGATTTCTATATGCAAGGTACGAGGGAGCCCTGGCCGACGCTTGCTCCTGCGTCAATGTTTCCTAGACTTACAGAATTTTTAAATTGTAACCCTAGCCATAACTTAATCTAAACCCCAACTGTAACCCTAACTCTAACCCTACAATTTAGAGGAGAAAATATAAGGCCTGGGGTGTTTCACAAAGATCCTAAGTCGAACTTAACTCTAAGTTGGACTTAAACATTATGGAGAGCCATTTGTAGCCTTGAAATAAAATATATTCAAAAGCGAATATTCAAATATTTTAGACTTTTCATAAATTCCACATTAAGAACACGAAATCTCATTGATAGTAGAAAATATGAATGATTTGGATCAACTTTTACAAAATATTTTCATAGGTACTAACGGCTTTCCATAATTGTTAAGTCCAACTTAGAGATAAGTTCAACTTAGGATCTTTGTGAAACACCCCCCCCCCCCCCCCCCGAGCATTTGTCGAAGGAGCAAATGTTGGGTCACCTCGAATGATACTACCTCTTACCAGAAATATCTTGAGATCGAAGTATTTGGGTATGTCACCGAAGAAGTCCCAATCAGCACTCATCTTGCGGAAGTAGTCGATGGAGAAGACAGCAAAGCCATGAGATGCCATCAAGGAGGGTCTGTCTTCTACTAAGAAAGGAACAGCACCCCTGATATCAAGAATCACCGGCATCGGATCGGAGGAACCTTTAATAGAAGCGGTTGATATCACTGAATTCCACTTTCATAATTGCTTTTTAAAAATTTGGCGTGTAGCAACCCTTACCCAAAAATATAATATTGATGCGTTGTTCCCCCTCCTCCCTCTCTCCCTCCACCTCCCTCTCTCTGTCTCTCTCTGTCTCTCTCTCCCTCTATTTCTCTCATCTAATTATGACCATTTTTTTTTCTAGTACACATTAGCACAGACAACTCCGTTTTTAGAGGGACATTATGTTTCTGACTGACGAACTGTCGAAAAAACGAACCAGTGCCTCATTTTTATACATACCCTTCTTTTTCGGAATATACAAGTACCCATCTGCAATCCCGTGTTGTACCAGATGCCGTTCCACATAGCTGGCTAGATACCATCTCTCAACCGAAGTGGAATGCATCACTATATTCTCTACATCATCTACCAGCTGGAAGGTGTAGATGAAAGGCTTCTGGATGTTGCGCTTGACCAGACGAGGTCTCTTGTGAGCAATCTCCGGTGCTGGTTCTAAGCTCCAAAGCAACCCCATAGGTTCGATACCCTGGTAACTACCACCGAGTGATGGTGCCCTCTCAACTGAAGATAAATTAAGAGATTAATTTGATATTACTGTTGAGTGTTATTACAAGACAATTTAAATCTATCCTGCAACTTAAGAGATTCATCAGCCCATTTGTTACAACAACAAACCTTTTTTTTTTTGGTAATGATATGAAATGTGATTATCTTTTGAATTATAGTAAATGTAATAAGCAATTTCGAGTCATGATGGACACACAATTAATCCATAGTAACTACGAGGCTGAGATACTATCTGACGATGCAAGTCAAAGTATTTTCAAAAAAGCAATTGCTAGGACTTAAGAAAACCAAATGACTATTTCATAATTCGCAGGAGGAAACCACGGTATAGTTGGACACCTGCACATCCCAGTTAGTTTGCTTCTGACAGGAGAGTCTTGATGGTTACAGTGATTGAGTTTGCTTTCCCCATCCTGTCTGGCAGAGGTTACGTCAAATACCGATCATACTGATAGGTATAAGCCTGCATTACCTTCCACTGTTCCTTTGTCATCTGCCAGGTAATGGGCATGAGATTCGAACCGACGTCTTCCCGATTCTGTGAAGACGTGAGCCTTGAGGGTGACACGCTGATACGGTCTTAGACCAACTGCCTTGATGTGAAGATCCTCATCGTTTAGACTAGACTTCGGAAGGACCTGAACCTTTGGAGCTGTACTGATACCGACACCACGATCCATACTCGCGATTTGCAGACTTGTATTGATGAATGAGTAGGGCGTTTTCAGAGGAGTCTAATGAAAAGAAAAACAAATTGTGAGGTACCCACTGGCCTGTATATTTGAGCTATAATTTTGGATAATTATAGCCAGAGTAATGGTTACTTATAAGCCAGTTCATAGTTGCAGTCTGAGCATGAGCAGATACAGGTCAAAGTACTAGATACGTGCTCATGAAGGTTATGTAATCATTATTCATTTATGCAGAAGCAGTGCACTCCATGATACACAGGTGGAAGTATTCTTTGAAAAGGGGGAAACGAAGGGTATTTATGTAGCACCTCCATCGCTGTAGGAGTGATTATTTCAAAATGTACAAAGTGGGACCTGTTCATGTTTTGAAAATCTGTGAATATTCGGGGTCATTTGGGACATGTGGTAACCATGAACTGGTCTATTGATACACTATTTAAATGAATTGATATATTCTTTCCTAAGTAGGCTATATATTGTGACAAGATATTACAATGTAGATTCAGCTGTTTAAGACAGTACGTTGAGCACTTATTTTGGCATGCATAATTTGTTGCTTGGTCAGACAAAGCTCAGTCAATAGGCCATTTCCGTAATGTAACCAAATTTATACATGCCTCGATACGAATTATTTCATTGACCTGTTGACGATTTTATTTAATATTTCAATAGTAAGAATGAATATTATATAAATTACGTGTTGTTACGTAGGGCAGGCCATATATAATAATGCTGTCCTACCTACATGCAGCAACAACTTATGTATGCAATTTTAAATTCTGAATATTGATTTACATTTATTCGTAACAGGTGATTGAAATTATTTGTTTCGAGATGCTTGACAAAGGAATATGCATTATATTTGGTTACATTACGAAAATGGCCTATTATTCAAAAGAGGGACAGAAACATTATCAGAACTGCTCGGAGGAATCACCTGTTTGAGCTAGATGCCGGACTATTAACAAGATGGCCGCTATTTACATTGGTGACTTCGCTTGTACAACAGCCAGTCATTATGTTACATCATATACGTTCTGTGCAGGGCAATGTTTGCGTTTTCTCTGACATCACATTTTTAAAATAAAAATGGCGACTCCCATGGGAAAATGAATATCAAGGATGCTGCAAACTTTGAAAAATTGCTTTTCTCATCATGTAATCCAGGAGTAATTTCAATATATTTTTTTTGAACTACGGCTGACAATTTTGAATAAGCTTATCAGCTAATGTTTGTTTCCAGGGTTTCATTATTCTTTGAGGTTCATTCACATATGACATGGTAAACCACACCACGTGTGAACGAGCCTAGCTCTATAGATCGAGGTTTTTCTTTTAGTAAATACATCTCTTCTTGCCCAATGCTCGACCATGGCGGCCCCAGTACCACCAACTTTTTCTTTACTCATCTGACAATGTTGAGTTATAAAAATGACCTCCTACCCGCAAACGGTTGCCCAATAATATCCCCTTACTGCTCTTTTTTCTTCTCCTTCTTTTACAATTTTTAAACCATCGTCTACTGTATTTCTTCATTCCGATATGGGAACTACTCGGTGCTCCAATAGGCAAAGGTTTAACAGTACTTCGTGTACAATAATTGCCGGCGAAGCTACCCGCCTCGTTTAGTACAAATGGTGGGGGTGTATATTATACAAATATCGTAAAAATACATTAGTGAGGAATACATTTTAATTTTTTTAAAAAGTACATCGTCAAGACCGTAAATTTGTAAAAACACATTTTAGGATACCTGAGAGGATCATAGAATCCACTTACCATACATGTAAATAAATTTTTTATAAAATCGTTCGTACGGCGTTCGTCGCAGTTCGTAATGGCATTTGTGACCGAGGCTTTAGGTAACCGGTCCATTATACCAAAATCGACAATAAAAAGACAGTAGTGCAAACTTCAGGTAGACCAAGAACAACAACGCAACAGCGCCCAGTGTGTAGAGTTGTTCTTTAGTGCATGGATCTTACTGGTTGTACGATTAAAGGGATTGGTTATCTTTGCCTCAGATTCTAAATAAAATCCTTGATTTAACTCATGCTGCAATCATAATTATAAACCTTTAGGTCAGTCAGGAATCCCATGACTTTTAAGAGCCGATCGCCTGTATGATTATCAAGATATTTTTTATTGGAATTGAAATGACGAAATCTGTTTGCCACACAGTTTTGAACAGTTTTTTTTAATAACAGTTCAGTTTATTGGGGACAATGAGTATGGTAAAACCAGTCACTGAAAGATTTGTTGAAGCGCAATTTTTGTAGGGCTTCAATATTGTACCATTTCACAGACACTGGTAACACGTAGGGCCATGCATCTCAGATTAAACTGGAAACATTATTAAACAATGCATGTAAAGGCAGAGAAAGGTCTGGGAGGGGATTTTCTCTCCCTCTCTCTTTTTTTTCCTTTCTCTCTCTCTCTCTCCCTCACCCCCTCTTACTTCCCTCCCCTCTCTCTTTTTTTTTTCTCTCTCTCCCCTCCTCCTTCCATCTTTATCTATCGTTTTCCTCTCTTTCGTTTCTCTCCCCTCCCTCCATACCCTCCCTCTTTGCATTGCCATTTCATTGGGAGGGGTGCTCCATCCCCCCCCCGCCATATACCTCTAGACAAGTAGTATGATCTCGCATGCTTCTGCTCTCTGTCATACGCAGTATCTTACTTGTACTGAAAGGTACTACGACGACAACGACGACGACGCCAATTATGACCACAATAAATGTGCTACTAGCATACTGAACACAAAATACCAATCTATCGTATTGTTGGTATAAAAGTTATTTATTCAAATATTAGGCTAGACATAAACAAAATCTTCATTTTTAACACAATGATACGAATTTGAATATCTATACAATGTACACTTTGATACACAGAAGACTGTCTTATAATAATTATGACAATATCCGTAAAATTCAGAGAAATATTTATACAAGGTATTAATCCAATGAAGTAAAATCCCCCTTGTAAGTAAGACTGTGGAAATACTTCAGTTATATTATTCACAAATCCCATGGCGTAGAAAATGTCGAGCCATTTAGGAGCTCCGATTATTTTCCAGCCCCTCCCTCCCCTTCCATGTCTTTCTATCTCCTCGGCTCTTTCTTTTAACCAATCGATTGAGGAGAATGTGCTCCATGCTCACCATACGCCACTGGTAAATATAACATGAAATGGTATTTGTTTGTTTTTAAATTCATATATTATTTATCGTTTCATTTTACCCACTACTGCTTGCCAATACACATTTAAAAAAAAAAAATTTAATTATCTTCTCGCTCTTCAACACTATTTTACTTTAATTTAATCCTTCCATAAAATTCCCTTTTTAATATCTTCCCTCATGTTACTTTTCCGTTTTCCTCCCATCGTCTATCACTCTTTCTCTACTTACATATTAACCTCTGATTTATCCTTCTATCTTTTTAATGTTCTATCTTTCCTTATGTTAATCTTTATATTTGTCAAAATATCCTTACGATCTCAACTACATTACATGTTTGCGCGATTTAATGGGCTTAATGTAACCAAATTAATTGCAAAAATCTTTGTTAGGTGCCTCGTTACAAATTATTCATTCACCTGTAACCGAATAATTGTATTTCAAAAGTCAGAATGCGAATTGCATACACTATTCGTTGTTGGGTAGGACAAGCCATCATTTTTGTCCTACCTAACAATAATTATGATCATTTATTTTTTGGTAATCGTTTGAAGAAAAACATAAGGTATCAAATTTTTTTTTTTTTTAATTCAACCTGAAATATATACACTTACATCTTTCAGATTAAAAAAAAATGGGCGTACTTGCGTATAAATATTTCAGTAGACCTACATATTAACAAGTTTGCGCCATAGTACATTCACTGGCGTCTTGTTAATTCAAAAGTTTTTTACATGTTTTATGCTAAACGTACATGTATATTGGGAGCGTAGCTAGGACATCGTCGTGATCGGCTATATCTTCGATTCACCTGGGATGTATTCCGACTCATCCTTTCCCGCCAGTGGTTTCTTCATCTCATTCACGTCTCCGAGTTGCCATTCTCCTGATCGTTTTCTCTCCATGTGCATTTTCTCCTCCTCGCCCTCGTGTTCTACTTCGTCAGGCACGCGCTCGACGCTGGTGACGCATTTGAATATGTCCCACCTAGGTCCAAGATAACCTCTCCTGAGGACGATGTCGGTGACATACGAGATGACGATGATGACCGCGAAAGAGAAGACGACGATGAAAGTGCGGAATGGAAACAGCTGACCCTTCGTTTCGCTATAAAATGGAAACTTGATGAAAATGGGGATGTGGAGGGAACCTTCTCCCCCGCCGATTCGGAGAAGTATAGCGATGACGAAACCTACAAGAGATCCGTACGTGTTGCATACCTGTTATAAAACAAAGGTAGCGGTAAAGTTGTTACTTTAAACAAACAATGATGGAAAATGTTGACGAAATAAGCGTAATTGGTACCCGGCCTAGTCCAATAACATTTTTTGGATGCAGTCTTCTCAAACGTGCTTACTTTTTTTCCGGTAACAAACTAGATTAGCAGAAGAGAGGTGCTATTTTCCTTTCGTGATTTGTTTTCATCTAAAGCGAAGAGGCGCCACTTTTGACACCCCCCCCCCCCTTGATCTGCTTTTAACATGTTGGGCCTATGGATCTATTTAAAAACCCGTAGCCATCAAATAACCATTTGCACGACACTTGCTCATGCGACACTCACTCCTACGACACTCGCTCCTTCCACACCCCATTCTCCGACTCTCACTTCTACAACACTCACTCCTACCGCACTCACTCATACCACACTTACTCCTGCGACACTTAATCCTACGACACTCACTTCTACGACACTCACTCCTACGGCACTCACTTCTACGGCACTCACTCCTACGACACTCGCTCCTACGACACTCACTTCTACGGCACTCACTCCTACGGCACTCACTCCTACGACACTCGCTCCTACGACACTCACTTCTACGACACTTGCTCCTGCGACACTCACTCCTACGACACCCACTCCTGCGACACCCGGTCCTGCGACACTTGCTCTTACGGCGCTTGCTCCTGCGACACTCACTCCTACGACACCCGCTCCTGCGACACTCGGTCCTGCGACACCCGGTCCTGCGACACTCACTCCTGCGACACTCGCTCCTCCGACACCCGCTCCTGCGACACTCGGTCCTGCGACACCCGGTCCTGCTTCACACACTCCTACGACATTAGCTCCTACCACACCCACTCCTCTGACACTCACTCCTACCACACCCATTCATCCTACCACACCCACTCATCCGACACTCACTCCTACCACACTTGCTCCTACCACACTTGCTCCTACCACACTCACTCCTACGACACTTGCTCCTACCACACCCATTCATCCTACCACACCCACTCATCCGACACTCACTCCTACCACACCCACTCCTCTGACACTCACTCCTACCACACCCATTCATCCTACCACACCCACTCATCCGACACTCACTCCTACCACACTTGCTCCTACCACACTTGCTCCTACCACACTCACTCCTACGACACTTGCTCCTACCACACCCATTCATCCTACCACACCCACTCATCCGACACTCACTCCTACCACACACACTCATCCGACACACACTCCTACAACACTCGCTCCTACCACACTCGCTCCTACCACACCCACTCCTACCACACCCACTCCTGCGACTATCACTCCTGCGACACTTGCTCCTACGCCACTTGCTCCCGCGACATTTGGTCCGAGGTAATTCCTTACACTAACCAAAATGTTAACTTCTACTCTGTACATAACCCTAACCCTTACCCTTAACCTAACTTTAATCCCCAATCGAACCAAAACATAACTATCTCATTTTGAGCAAATAAATCTCGGAGCAATACTGTCGGCGGAGCAAATGTTTGAGCACCAAATATACCAGATACTGACCTTGATATATAGAACGCAGACGAGTTGAGGGAAGATGATGACGTAGACGAGGTCGGAACAGAGTACGTAGAGGTAGTAGACGGAATGGACGGTGAGAGCAATGATGGTAGCGAGTATAGTAGTAACCACGATAGAGATTCGAATCACCCATACTAACTCACGTTTGGAAACCTGGTAGTGAAATCAAGGATAAACATTTGGATTGTGAGGAAGACGAGAATGGAGAACGCCAAAAAGGAAGAGTGGGAGATAGAAAGCAATATAGAGATAGAGATATGTAGAGGGGGCAGGGTTTCTCTTTCTAAAGAGAAATAAACGAGATATGAAAAGTGATCATGTGTAAATAACTTGTATGCCTACATAGAGAATAAGAGTCAAGAAACGGGATGGAATACAACTGAGAGTATAGGCTTAATTGGTAATTTTTATGATGGTAATAAAAGAAAGAAAACATCGATTTTGTTGTAAGATTATGTCCCTATTGCATGGTAAGTGTAGGGCCATGTTTTTTTTAGGGGGGGGGGGTGTACATCGGGGGGGGGGGGGGTCACTCTCAAACACAAGGGCTACCCACTCGTGTACATCAACCCCTGAAATGGACCCCTTTTTGCGGCGGTCTACCGCGCCAAATCTGAAAAAGTATTGCTTTAGTGAATCAGGCCAAATAGACAGAATAACAAGGAAAATAATATATTAAAGCTAAAGGCCAGTTATGGTCATGCAATTGCATAGTGAAAGAAACGTTGTGAAATCGATCAGAAAAGGTTGATCATCTAGCATAGATGTACTGCAAGGTTCTGGAATCATCAAAATCATAAGAAATTTGGCCAAGTCTTCATAAAGTTAGAAGCACTGTACACAGAAAGATGTATACGGGACTACACACACGTGCGCGACACGTGCATTTGTATCTCTCAACAGTATATAGATATACTAATTTACCAAATATATCAATTAGTAGGCGGTTTCCCGTCAAAATTTTTATCGTCATGAAATATTCAAAACATATTCTTTCACATGATTGGTAATAAGAGCTTCCATTTCGTTTTTTGAAATTGTGGCGTTTCCAATACTGGTCTTTACCTTTAAGTGTCAATTATTTTTCTTCATTCTTGGTAACGCATGGGACTAGTTGTCCTTTAATGCGAATGACCCGACTCATACCTTCGATCGGAACAGACCTCCCCAGATATTATGTGCAAACATGGAACTGGCGGCAAGCACCGACGAGTCTGCGGAGGACATGACGGCCGCTGACAGGGCTCCAAGCCCGACGAAGGCCACATAGGTCGGCGTCAGGTACTGGATCACCAAGGGCAGGATCAATGAAGGGTGATCGTGAGGATTGGTCTTGTTCAAATCCAGAGCAGTGGAATTCCAGTCTGAAATACCCAAAAGAGTAAGAAACAGAAGTCGAAGACAATAAAAGGTGTAAAAGGTGTAAATGGGTACCTGATAAAATTATGCTTGAGCGCTAGTTACTTTGGCAGCTCGGCTACGACCAAGGTAATATGTGTAAATCGCAATGAGCGTCATAACCTGGTGGATACCGGCGCTATATAAATAACCATATTATTATATAATCATATCAATGATCTCGTCGCCTGATGCCATTTGCTAAATTTACTAAATCCCCATTATCGTTTTTCTGAGGCTAATATCGGACTGTTTATCATATTTGTCTTGCAAGCACTCTTCTGGTATAATAGTTCGACATATTTACAGTATAAATTATGATCGGGGTCTGACATGGGTGCAATATGAATGCACTACTATTTCAAACTTTCGCCAATATGTTTCTCTTATTTTTCTGCTTTCAAACAAATGAACTTATTGCAAAGGTTGGACTGCCATTCAAATCAATAGTTTTCAGGGAAAGATGGAAAGGAACAATTACAACACTGATAATAAATAGAAAGTCGGATGCTTATGATAGCATTTCAACTGCTGACAAAGACTCTACCATAGGCAGTCCTAAAGATACTCGGGCGATGTTCACCATACCTGTGTTGAAGCCTACGGCTCCAATGAGTACGCTTGGGATAGCCATGATGATGACAACGAACCCGGCAATGAAAGACATCTTCTGGGCCTTCTCGGGTGACTTCGCTGCCAACACCCGCTGGAAGTATGCTTGCCATGTTATTCCACCCAGTAACTTAAAGAGAATGACAATATTTTATTTTATTTTATTTTATTTATTCATTTCTGTTTGATTTTATTTTCATTTTGCATTTTTACAAATATATAACAAACAAAACATTGCAAATGTTACACATTTCAAAAGTAACTAAACGAAAACATCAAACAGGAGGGTTGACAAAGTAAGCAAAGCTTGATAGCATGACTACCCTCAATGGATAATACATAATGGAACGAATATGAAAATGGCATTGGTAAAAGGCACATGTGCGCGCACCCCCCCCCCCCACACACACCCTTTTGAGTATGTCACAATGTTAATGGTTTGACTCCCCCCCCCCCACATCCATGCATAGAATAGCTCAGAGAGGAATGCAGCTCGAAACGGGTCGAACCGGGAACCATGTGACTCACAGTCCGAGGACGTATCCACTAGACTACGACGCCTTAAAGCCCGTCTGTACTAGTTTGGCCAGGGGGATTTGACCACCCAGTGTTGGTCACTGGCAGGTGGCTATCTCATCAACTCAGCTCTCAATTAACATAAGTAAAAGAGGGTCACGGGGGACCAACGGGCACCACTTAGGCATTGTTTTCTGTATAGAGGGAGCAAGTACATGTAGATACGTGTGTTATACAGTGGGGCTTTAAAGGTAAAGACCGGTACTGGTAACATTGCGGTTCAAGGGTTCTGGTTGCAAAATATCCATTCAATATTGTTTAAGTATTGCCTTCAGAGGTTTAGATGGCAACATTTCATCCTCAATTCGCAAACAAACAGAAATATATACCCAAATTTCCAATGTTGAAGTGCATTCGCGATATCTATCCAGGCCGAATCGATATGTTAATTTACCAAATAATATCAATTAGTAGGCGGTTTCCCGGCAAAATTTGTATCATCATGTATTAGTCAAACATATTTATTTCACATGATTGGTAATAAGAGCTTCCATTTCATTTTTTGAGAGGGGGAGGCGTTTCCAAAACTGGTATAAGAGTTAGAGTCACATCACATTGATAAGGGAATTAAGACTTATAAAGCTCTTGATTTACCAGAAGCATGGTGAAATCGATCCAGATTCCTGCATCCGATGGGTCGATTGTTCCGATCCATTCTGAGGATGTAGACGTGATCGGTGCGGCATGTTCGTTTGTCATCACAAAAGGAACACAAAACCACTAAAAATCATGAAAGTAAAACAAAACATTGAAGGAATAAGAACTTAACCATTGATAAGTGTGATCTGTTGTTGTACTAAAACTTTTATATGTTGCCTTCTTATCTCAAGCCACTGGCTTTTCATAGTGTTAGATCCATTACATTCTCAGTATATATATATATATATATTTAGTAATAAATATAATTTGTATGCAATAATGTTGACATTGAATTTAAAATTGATAAGTAACCACGTTAACACAATCCTTACCTATCCTTACCGAAGTCAATGACCTCTTTAAAAAAAAATTATAGTTACGATCTAGGCGGATTAATCGCAAATCACGGGATTCCACCTCCAGAAATAGTTTAAGACTGCTATTTATTTTAACATATTTACTAAGAAATCGCTGCTTATTAAAAATCGAGATTAAAGAAAAACAGACGGTATAAACAGAATATCAGGTCTAAAAGAGAGGAGAGAGAGAGAGAGAGAGAGAGAGAGAGAGAGAGAGAGAGGGGGAGGGGGGGTAAGAAATATGGATAGAGAGAGAGAGAAAAGTACTAAAAGAAAGAAAAAAAGAGGGTCAAGAAGGAAATACGTTTATTGCAAAAACAAAAACAAGCATGCAGAGACAATTTGAAGGTTTAATACCAATCCAACGAATATACAGAATAGTTGAACGACATCGGTGTAAGCAACCGAGTAGAGACCGCCGAAGAAAGTATAGAAAGCGACGATGACTGCGGAGATGATGACGGACAATTTGACATTGAGGTCCAAGATGACACTCATTGTCGTACCTGGGGATGATAAAGTGGAAGAAAATAATGTTAGACTTTCAATATTTGTTATACTGTTGTTTGACATTTGGTCGTATGCCAATTCATTTAGAATCCACCGCGCCAATCTTAATTTCGTCGACAATTTCTGCACTATCCAACTGGTTTAGCATCTTTGCGCCTAAAATCCATTTCACCCAATATCTATGTGGCCAAATAATTAGTTTATGATACCATTTCCTTTTGGATAATATATATTTTTTGTAATGACTTGTTGAGCTACTTATAATAACGTCTACTGCATAATTGGTCTAATATTCAGGCCCTGCAACAAAAAAACATTTGTGAATATTGACAGCAAAGTTTTCTGTTGGACCAAATAGAAATTAGACAGTAAAAGACCAAATGACCGATAGACCAACTGATGAGCGGAACGAATAAATAACGGCTTTAGACAAAATAAAACATTTTGTAAAATATGAAAAGCAGAAAAAATAAACTGGGTTCTGAGATGAATTGCAACAAGGCGAATCGGCAATTCAACAAATCGGCATCGGACCAAATTTGCCTACACTTCAAAACAAACCGTTTAGTATAGCCCGACATATATCAATGGAAATAGATAGTTGCTCATGGACTTTTCTTTCAACCCCGTTGGAAGAGATTCAATTAATCATTCATAATTTTATTACAGCTGGTGTATTGATTGCGAAACTAGACCAATCAATGAACGAGGAAGGTTGAGTGTTGTTCTAGATCTGCTTTATAGACAATGAACTGAGTAAGACAATCGATTTAAAAAAAAAAAAAATTATTGTACGTTTATGCATGAACAAGAATTTAGTCACTACCATTTATAGTAATCATATGATAGCTACGAGCTATCTGTGCAATTCCAAGCTTACCTTGTAAATACATGGTTGTCGATGACTACACACTGATTAAAATAGTGTATTTGGGGGGTACTAGAATTTAGGGCAATGCAAAGGCCCTTCGTTTAATAATGTTTGCCTATTTATCTATTTATCCATCTACCTACCCAATAACCTACATATCTACCTCTTTATCTTTTATTAGTGTAAAAATTATATTTACTCCATCTGTTTATTCCTTCACCTATTTATACACTCTTTCCCTACATTTATAACTGGCTTTTCTATATTTTTGTAGGCCTACATTTCAACAAGAAATATAAATATGTGTGTTTTATTGTGTCTTTTTGCCCCTTGAAATGTTAGACCCCAAAGCATTGATCTTGTGGTGTCGGCTCCAAACCTGATTTGTAGTACTATTCACCAGATCCCATACAATGTACTTCAAGAGAAGCCAAGATGGTGGCCGATTAGAGGATCTCTACAAAAAGCGCTGGAATAATATAAAGAGTTGTCCTCCCATCCTGTTCATATACTTCTCTTGGAATAATAACCCCCAAAATACGTTACAGAGTTGCCAATTTTTGTATCATTGATTACAACTTCAAATATCCATGATTTACTTATGTTTAATCGGATTTTCCTCAACTTTCACTCATCTGTAGTTCTTATTTTGCTGATTCAACTAAAACCAAATTTAGGATTGAAAAATACCAGGGTGGACACTGGACTTTCCTTTTAAAGGCATCGTTTAACAATGTTAAATCTGAGGTGCACGGCCCTACGTGTTATCAGTGTCTGTGATATGGTGTAATATTGAAGCCTTAAAAAAAGCGCTTCAAAATGATCAAGAAGAGCCTTAAAAAAGTAAAAATCTTTGAGTGACCGGTTTTACCATTCTCTTTTTTCCCAATAGACTGTAGTGTTATGAAAACCGTTTGGCAAACGGTATTCAAAATTTGTAATTTTAATCATAAATATCTTGATAATCAGACAGGCGATCGGCTTGAGTTCCTGACTGACCCAAAGGTTTATAATTATCTTTGCAACATGAGCTAAATCCAGCTTTTTGTTTCAGAATCTGAGACAAAGTTACCGGATCCCTTTAAACGTTTCGTCCATCTTACCAAGGGAAGCCAAGATGGCCGCCGACCAGAGAATCTCTCCAAAAAGCGCGGGAATGAAAAGAAGTCCTCCCATCCTGTTCCCATACTTATCTTGGAATGGGTCGAGCATGGTGAGGTAGCCTTTGGCTCGCATGTGTTTAGCGAAGAGAATCCCACCTGTAAACAAGTACACAAAATATGTATATAAGATCAACAGGTAAAACGATTTTGAGAATCTTTTCCTAGTTCCATAGCGTTCCAGATGTGAAATGCTTGACTGAAAACTGTCCGAATGTGACCCGTGTTTATTCAAAAGAAGCGATGTGATGTAGGGTTTCTTTCTTGTTGTAAATGGCAGTGTTTTCACGCAAATCGAGAAATCAGTCTTCCAACAAGTCAGAATCGATTATTTATGACTTATATGTGAATTTTGGTGCTGCTTCTTATCGTTATAATTTATAAGAGAGGCCAGGTACGTGGTATCTGTTTCAGCAGATAATGGATCACATATCCCCGACTCTAATCAAGACCTTAAAATTACCATCTTTAGTGCCTCTTCGTTCTTATATGACGAAATAGAAACGGGGAGGATCCTTGGCAGCCTTCGCACAAGAATCGGTCCATATCATAGATGCATTGCATATACTATTTTGATGTAAACTGTAAAAAAAACGAATTCTACTAAGAAAGCAGAGATCATGATAGTGCATAATTTACTAGAAAATTTATATTTATATTTGCTAAGACCTGTATACCTTTTTACGAGAAGGGCTTGTAAAAGTAATTACAAAAAAAGACATTATCCATCTGATCACTAAGATGGCTTGTCAGAATCTGACGCTCCATATCAAAATTCTTCTTTTTGGTGGCATCGTCGTGTGATGACTAGGAACATTAATTTGTGTCAGTGGTATCACTGAGACAACGTAATTGACAGTTATCTGTATAACCATTGATGAAGTACATTTTTGTGCTGTTTTTTTAAAATCGTATCTGGACACCTACCCCCTGGACATTCACCCCCGGATAACCACCCCAGTCAACTACATGTACTCCCTTGGACAACTACCCCCTAGGGCAACCACCCTCTAGGGGGGCAATTTACTGGGGGTGGTTGTCCGGGGTTAGTTGTCCCAGGGGGTAGTTGTCATAGAGGGTGGTTGCCCTAGGGGTAGTTGTCCTAGGGGGTAGCTGTCCTAGGGGGTAGTTGACGGGGGTGGTTATCCGGGGGTGGATGTCAAAGGGGTAGGTGTCCTAAAACCGTTTTTTATTCAAAAGTGAAAATGTGTTTCCAAAGTAAGGTCTTCAGTGGTTGTCGTTCCTTTTGATCATGACTTACCCAATGGCATACTTATGGCGTAGGCCCAAGGAGCCTGCGTCCAAGCGAGGCCACTTTCAAACACAGACTCGGCAGCGCCATTGATGTAAGCGCCTCCTACAATGGTAGCTGTCATGATAGATGAAATTATTTATAGAAAAGGGGTTATTTACATTTTAATAATAATAATTCAAACCCATATTCACATAATCTTGTAATCAAACATCAAACGTTGAATTCGAATTTCGAAAAAAAACACGAGAATAACAATATCGTCATCATCATCAACATCACGACTACAAAGCAACTTACTGAAATCAATAACGGCATGGCGAATTTGACAACTATAAATGGGATGCTTTAAAAAAAAATGACTAAACCGTTGGTGTGAAATTAATAGCTACCACAAAGGGTGAGAGGAAGAGAGAGAGGGAGAGACAGAAAGAGGGAAAAGGAGAAATAGAAATGGAGAGAGAGAGAGAGAGAGAGAGTGAAAGAGAGAGGGGAAAGGGGGGGGGGAGATATACAAGTGAGAAATCAAAATTAGACGGGTATACATTAGACATTAGCCGGGCTATCTTGTCATTGACTAGTTTTTTTAAGTTTAGTCATTCGGTCGTTTTAGAAAACCATAAAGGTCATGTATACTTTGGTCACCGACGAATTTCAAGTTTATTGCATCCGTCAAAATACTTCGGTATTTGTTAAAAGATTCTGAACAAATACAGATGTCACCGGACAACAGGAAGATCAATATGTTTCTTTAATCAAGGAAACAGATAAAACAGTTATGATTACTTAGCTAATTACTAGTTATAACCCTAAAAGGAATGGTAATTTCCCAGTGTTTGGTTAAGCAACCATTTTAAAGAGGAGGAACCTGATCGAAAAGGTTTTGAAAATATCAACCAAGGCAATTTCGATAGCCTTGACCGCCGCCTATTAAAAACTTATCCTAATATAAATTCTATAGGATATATAAAATCAGGTATTTAAATTGCCCCCGAGTTGATTTCTTCGAGGTATTTGTCTTCATGTAATATGTTCTTTTCGAGTTGCCTTCGCCCTCTTGCTTTGCTCTCTCTCTCTCTCTCTCTCTCTCTCTCTCTCTCTCTCTCTCTCTCTCTCTCTTTCTCTCTCTTTCTCTCTCTCTCTCTCTCTCTCTCTCTCTCTCTCTCTCTCTCTAATTTTGTAGTAATTTGTTCCGACAGAGCAGGTGCCCCCTGCCCCTGTAGCTACGCCACTGTCAACTAACTGACACCCCTCTACAATTACAAAAAAAAACTGCATACACACATACACGCACGCACACGCGCACGCACACACACACGCACACACTCACGCACACTATCAGGCTGAATTCGACCTACCTGCCGTCGTCCATACCCCGACAAACAGGGACATGTCCCTGCTAGCCACGAGGACGCTATCGGGATCGGAGTCCCCCTTCGATTTCCTCGACGCCCATAGTCCGACGACAAGGATGATGATGTAGAAGACCACGATGCCGGCTATTCCGACCCAGTTGACCGCCATGATGGATTAGATCTGATTTTAAATAAACTGATGAGAGGCAAGAGAGAAAGGGAGAGAGTGGAAAGAGGGGAAAAGAGAGAGAGAGAGGCAGTGGATAAATGGGGAAAGAGTGAAAAAAGGAGAGGCGGAGAAGAGAGAGAGAGAGAGAGAGAGAGAGAGAGAGAGAAAAAAAATTATAGGTCTCTATTAATGTGATTTCTTTTTTATAAAATTATCTATCATCATTTAAAGAAAAATACACTAACATAATATGATTCTTTGATATTATTGTCGTCACTCCCCTACCAGTGGCAGATTTAAGCCGGAGGGGGGAGGGGGCGGGGTTACCCCTTAAAAAACCTAATTGAACTACATTGAATACATAACCCAATTTGCGTCCCCCTTCATTCTTTAGAATGAAATGCCTCCCATGAATGTATTGTTTTAGAAGTGTGCCCTCATTTTTTATTAATCCCGGATCTGCCCCTGACTCCTATATTGCGCAATCTCAACATCGTCATTTACATTTATAAAAAAGAATGGGTAATCTACACCTGAATTGAACATTATCATAAGAAAACACTAATGTTTGGAAGAACCAGTGTCATCCCCATATATTCTCATGTATTAACTTATCAGTAAAACATTAATGACGATTACTTTTCCCCGTAATTTTAAGATACTATATGAATAAACAGGGTGATTACAATCAACGTGCATGTAGTGTAACAAAATTTACCGATATAAATCAATATAGCCGCCATTACCACGTTACATGAACAAACTGTAGCTTCAAACCATGGTTTAAAAAAACCCACCTGTGTACAACATGAGGCATTCCGCTTTTTTAAACAAGGGCATTTAACTTTCTCCCTCCTCAATCAGTTTATCACCAAGTCATGGAACATTAGGAACAGATAGTTTGTTTTTCATATTGCGTTAGCCATGGAATTGCCATAATCAATTTCAATTTTCAAATGGGAAAATAAAATGTACGCCTATGATCTGCATTAAAGGGATTGGGTAACTTTGTCTCAGATTCTGAAACAAAATCCTGGATTTAGCTCATGTTGCAAAGATAATTATAAACATTTAGGTCAGTCAGGAACCCCATGACTCTTACCAGCCGATCGACTGTCTGATTATCAAGATATTTATGATTGGAAAACGAAATCAAATTTTGCGCTTTCCTAACGGTTTTCATAACACTACAGTCTCTTGGGGGGAAACGAGTATGGTAAAAACCGGTCACTCAAAGATTTTTACTGTTTTAAGGCATTTCATGATCATTTTGAAGCGCAATTTGTTTAAGGCTTCAATATTACACCATATCACAGACACTGATAACACATAGGGTCTTGCATCTTAGATTTAACATTGTTAAAGGCACACTGTCCTACTTGTAGCTACTTGCTCCCTCTATATAGAAAACTTCCCCAATCGGTGCCTGTTGGTCCCCGATGATCCTCTTTTTCTTATGTTAAATGAGAGCTGAGTTAATGAGATAGCCACCTGTCACAGTGACCTTGCTGGCTCGCTGGGTGGTCTAATCCCTTCTAGCTGAAGTAGTAAAGCCTGCCTTTAAACTATGCCTTTAAGGTGCGTCGATGCGTCATCGCCGCTATAATATACATCGTGGATGGGGAATATATCCAACAATCTTCCATTACATTTTTCCTCCACCGAAGATTTTACCAAAGACATTCCTTCACTATCACGGAGAAGCAACGATTCATTTTAAAATGAAATAAATGGATTCATACTGAGATGTGTTGTGTTTGCAATCCAAACTGTATATCTCATGCCTACTGAGGGCGTCGTCCCCTGATTGTAGATCGGAGCCGCCATATTAAACTTACTATTGAAATCGGAATATCTGTCTTAAGTTTGCATTATCTAGGACTCTAACATAAATACAAAGGACTCACAATCCTCAACTATCAACAAAAATGAAAGTGAGCATAAACCACTCTCTCTTTGTAAACGTATACCGGCAAAAGTTGTAGCTGGTGGAGCCCATTGAGCTGGCGAAAATATTGACATTACATTTACTTGCATACATTTTGAATTGAATATGTCGACATTTCAGACGAGATGGCTTAGTGGTAAGGCAGTGGCCTCATTACTTGGTGGACCTGGGTTTCAAAACCAAATGGTTTCGCTATTGTGCCCTTTCGGTACAGCATTAAACCTCATTACAAAGTCCCTCGGAGAGGTCTTAGAGACGTCGGTCCCTTGGTTACTTACAAACAAGCATACACATGCTAGCAGTCAGGTAAAATAAAAAATCCTCTTTGTGGCAGTAGACCTCTAAAGAGCTAATGACATTGATATTGCTACATTTATATCTACTGCAGATGAAAACAGACTATTTCAGACCTGGCTTAACTTCCACTGTCCTTTAATAATAATAATAATAATAATAATGATATGGATATAGCGCCGGTATCCGCCAGGCTCTGACGCTCATGGCGCTGTACATATTACTATCACAAAAATATAACTTTGTATGATCGAATCTCTTTGTTTAGAATACAAAAACAGTCTCAATCTCTGAACTCTATAAAAGTAATTCAGCTCAGTAAAAAAATTGATGAACGAAAGGAATCGTGTCATGAAATGAAAAGAGGATATTGATGGTAATATAATGTCTGTTTATTCACAGAAGTTTAAGTATATTATATAAAATACAGACTATGGCTGTGAAAGTGAGTGGGTTTGTTGTTTGCCTCTCTCCCTCTATCCAGCCACTCAGTGGTGAAACATAGATTGACCTCTGACCCGAGCCAAGTATGATGTAAGCTTATAACACATCATGCTTTTCCAGGTCTACCCTTTTTAAGTCATTCCAAAGTCACATTCAAAAATAGGCTCAAATTGTGAAAACATTACGTTGGAGTACGGGAACATAGTCTGTCTGTCTGTTGCATCGATCATTCAATAAATCAAATTGAACGTAACCCCGGGAATTCGTAGAACGCTGATATATAGTTGCTTTATCAAAAGCACTCATAAGACTGAAACATAGTGTATGAAGAACTTTCTCTCTAGAAATCGCCCTCGATATCTTTCTCACCAGGTTTAACAAAAAAATTGTTTTCATGTTACCTGTATTGAAATAGACTGTATTACATACATACAAGATGTAAAAGCGTTGTACATGTCGTTTTACAATATTGTAAACTCTCATACAGTATTATACCATGTATGAAGGTAGTATAGGCCACTTTGTAGCTGAAATATAGCTGCAAAGTAGAGGATAATTGCAGCAAAGTGCTGAACATGAAAGTATGACTGTCTCCATAGCCTATAGGGACTGCGTATCTTATACCCTTTGTATACGAAGTGTCATTTGTCTGAGGTAAGACGGAGTTAGAAACGGACGCGGTCTTTGACGCACCATCATGACGTAGATATCATACAGCTAATTATTGATGCAAAGTGCACAGTGCTGACGCTGAGTTGAATCACTGGCGTATGGGCTGATTGCCTTCACATGTTTGATTGACGCAATTAATGAAGCAATCAACTTGACGCCTCGTGTACGTGCAAAGAGAATAGACAGATTATAGAAATGACGTAAGACCTGGAACTCACCATTAAATTGAAGGCTGAAACACGATCACAAATCCTTTATTAAAATAATATGGTAAGCCATCCGTATCCATTATGTACCAGGCAGAACAATGGCTGAAGAAACATAAGGTTAGACACATTCATACAACTAAAAACAAAAAATTACCATGCATGGTCATGTATCCCGTTCATATAAACATCGTTGGTATGGAATATTATTCAGAACGCTGCAGAGAGAAAGGTTTTGTTCATTTTCCTATAAAAATGCATACAGTAGAAATTGTGCATGCGGTTTCTGCCGGTAACTGAATCAGAGTATTTTCGATATATTCACTTAGTACGATTGAATACACGAAACAATAGCTGCGGTACACATGCATGTAGGCAAAACACCTGTTCGCGGTATTGATAAATACCGATGGTGAACTATTGTACAGCTGTTGTGTATTTCGCTTTAGTTCACTTTTTGCTTGCATTTTGAACTTCATAAAGATGTTTGTTGAGTTGAGTCTATTTTATTTATAACCGGTAAAAGTCCGAAATAGTTCGAAGACGGTTTAAAGAGTCAGGGCCGAGTCGAAGAAAAAAAATCATGACAGAAGTAATATAACACCTAAAAATGTACAACCTTAACGTAATGCATAAAGCAAAACAAGCTAATGGGATAAATTGTTTGTTTTATTCATACATCAGTATATAAAACGAAAGATATTAAATTAGATGTATTTATATGAGAAATATCTTAAACACGATCGCAAACACTTTCGAAAAATCAAGCTCGCATATTCAATGGCTTTGTGCGTCACTTGTGAAAGAAACGGTGTGGAATCGATCAGAAAGGTTGATCATCTAGCGTAATAGTATTGGTGTGTACTGCATAGTTCTGGAATCACCAAAATGATAAGAAATTTGGCCCAGTCTTGGTAAAGTTACAAGCACTGTACACAGAAAGATGTATATGGGACTACGCGACACGTGCACGATATCTGTCCGGTCCAAATAGATATAATAATTTACCAAATATATCAATTAGTATACGGTTTCCCGGCAAAATGTGTATCGTCATGTATTAGTCAAAACATATTCTTCCCATAAATGGTAATAAGAGCTTCCTTTGAGAGGGGGGCGTTTCCAAAACTGGTCTTTACCTTTAAAACAAAAATGTGCGAATAAGACTAAGACATGTCACGTGATTCGCACCTTATTTATATGGGGGTATGGTATAAGGTATTGAAGTTGCCAGTGAGTTAATCTTTCGAAAGTAGCTGCGATTGTGTTCTTACAAGCTCAGAAAACACAGAACTACAATAAACCTGTTTACTAACGTTTAGAAGTTATGCATACTTTATAAACAAAAGTTGTTCTCGACAACCTGAAAAAACTTGCCCGAGACTTGCCCGACATAGCTACAAGTAATATACCCAGACGGGATTCCGAGTATTGAAGTTCATTCATTAATAACAGGTTAATTG